CCTGCCACATGCAGGGCCACCAACCTCCCCATTTAATACCAGACCAGGCATCAGGCTTTACTAAAAAGTATTCCAATGCACAATAGTAATTGAAAGTCTGGGTACTGGATGCTCACCAAACATTCTGTTAGAGCACAATAGCATCCCAACATCCAAGTGTATACAAACGAAGGATGAAGTTGTAATCCCCTTGTCATACCATGACTTTATGGGATACGTGCGCCATTTGAATGCGAGGAGACAAACAATACGGGAAATATAGCTTTGACAAGAAAATACCCCGAACCCACAGAGCTCCTGTGCTGTCCAAATTCTTGTTTTTCAAGCCTTTTTTTTTTGAGTGAGCAGGCAAAAATGAGTTTTGTCAGTAGAAACTAAGTAACCGCCAAATATGCTTGGAATGCCTGCAGCACCAGAGGAATTTTCTAAGTAACAGTGATCACTTTTGTTCCTTTTAGCTACACAAATCTGAGCTCTGAACCCTCTGTGCTCTTTCACATTTTCTTTGACATATTTGGGGACTTTGTTTTAAAGGGAGTACATCTGCTTGCAGGTTCTTTTTTCTCAAATAGGGCAGTAGTTTTTTTGCCAGAGGTCTGTATTGGTGGGGAAGGAAAACTGAACCTCTGTAAGACTGTATTAATTGGTTATCATCTAGAAATTGGAGCAGTCTCGTGGGGCGCAGCATTTTAATAGTTCTTGGCCAATGTTAAGAAATGGGGAAAGAGTTTCTATAGACATAAGCACAACAACCTTAAGCAGTTTATCTTCTGATATATTCTGGAAAGTTTATTTCTAGGTATTGTGAGATAGAGGAGCTTGAAGTGATCAAAACCTGATTTAGTAGACATTTCCTCTCGTTGCATGTGGGAAAAAAAAGCTTTGCAATTGTATTTGTGTGATATGTGGAAAAGAGGAAACGGCTTCTCAGCGAAATCTACATTTTCTTATCTGTTGCCATACTGCTGTATTTCAGTCATGTCTCTGTTTGACAACTCATTGCGTTACTAAATGTAATTTTGCCATTAACTGGCTTTAGGAAAGAGATTCTGGAGCTGAAATTTAGAGAGCAAAAATCATAACGTTTAAATGTCGGAAAACCTCATTCTGAATCAGTTAGAAATATGCTTCCAGTTCAGGAATCTGCTTGAGAAAGATAGGCAAGCTCCCAAGCTTTGAACGTGAAGTTGTCTGCCTTGTGGATTGCTGATGCCAGAGCTCTTCAATAACACCTTCACTTTATCAGCTTCTTCATACTAGGAGGCTCTTGCAGTACAGCAGAAGGTTTATTTGCTTCTTCATGGAGATGGTAAACTTGAAAATCATAAGCTTGGCTATTCCAGAATACAAGACTGCAAAAATTGGTGTTAAATCTTGCATCTCTGTCCAGACAGAGGTTTGATGCTGAGACAGCATGAGCGATGCAGAGATCCTTTTGGTGTTCAGCTTCATCTGCATCCAGTATTTACCCTCAGAGGTATGGCTCACACTAGAAGTCTTGTTTGAAGGATGAAATTTTTGAAAAACCCTTTCGCCCATAAAGCCATTAACTTTTAACCCATTGCTCTTCAAACAGAGCCCACATTGGCTTATTGTGGCCATATGGGGAGATTCTGTGAATATGGGATGTGAATTTATTAGATGTTCTAGCATCTTTCCCCTGCTGTGTTTCTGTTATTCTTGTTGTTTTTCCAGAAGTGGTGATATGAGTTGGAGTGGGAAAGCTCTGTCCAGAGCCATGGGGACAAATAATTCTGCCCAGCACAGCATTAGTCACTTGTTCTGGGGACCAGCTGAGATGTGATGCAGATGAGTCTGAACTCAACATAGTTCCTATACTGCTATAATATATACTGATATAATATACTGATATAATAATTACTCACACAATCCTAGAAGAGCTGAGGTTGGAAGGAACTTCTGCAGATCACCTGGCATTTGTCCTGTCGGTGCTGCGCTCAAGTTTCTTCACCTTGAGCTGATCCTGAGACCAGCACTGGGGCTGCCTGTCCTGCTGTGTTGAGATTCCCACATGTGCTGAGCAGGAGTGAAGGCAGAGCTACAACAGCATTTCTCTTTCAGATTTGTCTGGGAGCATGGAGTCCATGTCATCGTGGTATAACGGGGTCTGTAATTCAGGGACATTAACAAATTGGTGGTAAGCTTAAGAAGTCTCAAGAATGGAATGGTTTGGATTATATCCACACAAACTTTAAAAAGAATAAAATATCTGCTAAATGGAGTTGTTCTTGCATCCAAAAGATAAATTATTGTGACAAGTGATGCCAGCTTTACTTATAATAAAGCATGGATGAACAGAAATTGATCTAAGGCAAACAAGCTTGGCTGCCTTGGCAGCTCCTCAGGAGCAAAGCTGAAAGTGTGGTGTTGCTGGGAGATGCCAAGAGCTTTCTGCTGTGAAGTCCATGTAGATTTTCCTCATCAGTTTGTTTTTCTGCTTGGGTCTTCAGCTTCTTTTTGGAGATTCTATCGAGCAGCTCCTGCTGAAAGGCACAATATGGCTCCAACTGTACTGGAATCTGATTGCTTACTCTGCAGTGGTTATGGAAGATTGAAAGCGGAAAGCAGTAAACGTTTCTGGGGGATTTTCTAGTACTTCCCCAATTCATAGTTATTGTTGAGGTTGTTTCCCTTTTTTTTCTTTTCTTTTTTTTTTTTTTTACTTTAAATTGAAACTTTTTACTATGCGTTATTTTTCCACAATCTTCTGAAAATATTCGAATATTACATATTCATTCCATGAGAACAACCATGGCCTTGTGCTAGAGGCAGTATCATAGAATCAAAGAATGGCCTGGATTGAAAAGGACCACAGTGCTCATCCAGTCCCAACCCCCTGCTGTGTGCAGGTCGCCAACCAGCAGCCCAGGCTGCCCAGAGCCACATCCAGCCTGGCCTTGAATGCCTGCAGGGATGGGGCATCCACAGCCTCCTTGGGCAACCTGTTCCAGTGCCTCACCACCCTCAAAAAATCACCCTCATTCAAGTTTATAGTTTGAATGTTGCTACTGCTATTGGAAATGTCCTTTTTCAGAAAAAAAAAAACAAACAACCAAAACCAAAAACCTCCTGGCTCATTAGATGACATCATACAGCCTCCATACCTCTTTCTGACTTGCTGTCCCCCAGTTTTGTTCTCCTGCTTACCCACTTCTGATTGCAGCAAGAAGCAGGATGTGCTATGACTGATGCAGAGCATGTGCTGACTTGTCAGCTGGCTGCTATCTTTAAGCTACACAGAAAGATAAGGTCTGAGTTGTCCTTGCCTTTCCCCAGATATCTTTCATCTCTCCTCTTTTCTTGTGTTGTTTTCCCCACTAAAGCTGTGGGAGGGGAATTATACTTGTGTCTGGTCAGTGCGTCTTGGTCCTGCAGCTAGTGCAACATAAGAGCTATTGGGATGCTCTGGGGTTTTGTTGCTTGCCTCAGCCTTAATAATAGGCAGTGTTGGTTGTGTACCTCATGGCTGGCAGTGCTTTGTGTAGGATGCTCTGTCTGCACACCCACACAGTGTGCTGTAGTGGGGCATGGAGCCTCCTGGGAACATTCAGCAGTCTGGGTGCTGCTTCCTCCCATCTGTTTAATTCCCATGGGGTTTCCAGTTGGGCTGAAAATCATTTCGTAGCTTGCTGGGCCCAGCTGTGGGATGATGGATCAGGCTGTGCATAGCATGCTTCTGTGTGGTACAGTGCGCACACTCCATCCTTTCCTTTGGGCAACATTTGTCAGATTTGCTCTTTTTTAGTCCAAGAGCACAGGACAGCTATCTGTATCCTAAATACTGGTGTCTTTTGATGTTTTCTTTTGTGTGTGCTTGCATCAAATGTGCAGAGAAATGTGGTTTCATGTGTATGTGCACATCTTTAGAAAATGAGGTACTCGTTTTTGGGCCTTCAGTCTAAACTAAGCCTGATACATCGCCTAGTGTAATCCATCCTCTTGAAGTGTGCAATAGGACTTTTCAGATTATATCCTTATTGCTGCTTTATTCCAGTGCTCAGTAATATGTGCTGTCCCGAGGGCTGGAAAAGTCAAGTGTGCTGTCACAGGACAATCCTGCTGGGAATTGGGCTGGGACAGAGCAGAGCTGCTGGTCCGAATCAAGGGCAGGGCAGCCCTTGAGCCCTTTGAGCATCTCTGTGTGCTGAGCTCATGCACTGAGCCCAGGCACTGTGTTTGCCTTGCTCTGTAGGAAGAGTGATCTTCCTGTAGGAACAGGAATAAGCCTTCCTCACCAACAAGAGCTACCCTGCTCACTTGAATGACCTTGTGATGTGGCTGCTGCAGGGTAACATTGGCTGAAATAACTGCTACTGCTAGCCACAGCGCAGCTCAGTCCTGGTAGTTGAGTTAAATTCATATCAAATTCAAGCCTAAGTAAAAAAGAAATGAGGGACTTAATTTGTAAATAAATATTTTTGAGAGACCGTGCTGACATTACGGTTCTTCAACTCACTTCTCAACCCATGTGAGCAGCATAAAGTGATGCTACACAGCTCCTACTCTGTCAAAAGAAAGAAATCATTGATACTTGCTGCAAGGCTTTGCTGATGGCAGGAGCTTATCAATGCCATTTGCAAGGCCCAGGGCAAAGAGAGCATCACTTCCTTGTGGCTGTGTTTGCAGGGTTTCTCCTGCCCTCCATGAGAAAATGCTGCATAACCTGGTGCTAGTGTCTGAATCATTGGTGCAGTGGCTGTTGCTCTGCTGTTGTCTTACAGACTGTTCTGGTGCTCGCTGTGTTCTGTCAGAAAGTTTTCACTTGTGCAAATGACAAAGTAAAGGAGTTGCTATTCTCCTCTGATTTGAGGAGAGATGGGAGGAAAGAAACAAACTTTTCAAATACAGTGCTCCAAAATGAGATATTAACAGTAGAGCAATTAAGCTGAAGTCCCTTTAGCTAACAATCTTTTTCTTTTGTCTTTCTTGCCCCACGTGCTGCACCGTATCACTGCTGCTGCTGCTACTTCTGAGAGCAGCAGGACCCAGCCGAAGGTAAGGACCCTTATTGCTTTTTGCTTGTGGTTCAGTCAGTCATGTGTTAGCCAAATATTGAAAGCATTTCAGAAAAACAGCCCTGCAGCTGGTCAGCTGTTGAGTAAGAAACTCGAAGCATTTCCTTGCTGCAGAAGAGCACTGTGTAGCCTCTGCCAAAAGATGAGTCACGGGAACAAATGAGAACATACATGCTCAGCATTACAGGCTGTGAATGGGAGACTGCTTGTTGTCTGTGGGTTTTTTAAAGCGTTTTCTGGTATTTGTGTTGTAGCAAACTCATTTTGTTGGTCCCATGACTTTGTACTTGGCATGCTGATATCTATCTTAATCCTGGCACACTGGAATTCAGCTTTATTGCTGTGGTCGTATGTCCAATGATGTCTTGGGATGTTATAATTATATGATGTCTTGGGTGTGTGTAATTGTTTAGTAAATTCAAAGAACCAAATAAAACCACGTAATTTCAATCAGGGAAACAGCAATTTATTTAGAAGCTGCAAAATAAACTATTTTGTTTTACATGATACTGCACGATTGCTGTACTTTATAAAAAGGGGAAGGGTGTCAAAAAAGGAATGCATTTTTGAAGATAAGTTGTTCAAATGTGAAGGATTTTGCTGCGCTAAGCATTTTCACAGATGTAAGTAGTGTTGGATATGTTTGTAGTCCAGATTTTCAACATTTGTACAATTTTTCTAACTTATTTTAATTGGCATAAACTCTTGAGAAAGATTCTTTCCTGCTTTGTGAATCTTTAAATGATTTCTTCAGATACCATGACATGATTCATTAGGGAATGGTATAACTGAGATCAGTCACTACAGAATCAATATTTCTCTGGAGGGTTTTTCTATTATTAATGTAGGTATGATGCAACACATTTTGTTCCTACAATCTTTACTAAATGAAAGATGTTAGGGTGGCTTACCTGCGTATACAGTGCTGCATGGTTGGTGCCTTTAGCATAGACCACAGACTTCACTGAACCTGAACAGGGAAATGCTTTAGCAGAGTTTCAGGAATAATCAAACTGGTGTTCAGAAGGTGAATTTGAGATGTTGGCAGAGTGCACTTGCTCTGCTAACGTGATCTGAAGTGCTGCAGACACCAGCTCTGTAGCCGTAACGAATGGCTAAAGGGAAAAGAGCAGCCTTAATTAAACTTAGATGAGGAGTAAGCAGGCAAAGTGCAACCCATGGCACTTTCCTTTTCCCTATATCCTACAGAATGGTTTTTGCCTGTTTGAAAGTAGACCAGCTCCTGTCCTGGCTTTTTAATTTTTTTTTTGCTTACAAATGCATAGCTGGAGGCATTGGTTTGCAAACATCTATTTTTGCAGCCTGGGATCCTGGAGCAGGCAATGCCCTATTGTGGGGGTCAGCAGTCACAGTGAAAGATGCCTTAAAATGGGTTCACTGCAAAAGTGAAACTTTTCCATTTGAAAAGGCGTCAGCGCTATTCTTCTAGTGATACATTTGCTCACGGACTTTGATGATGGCTGCTTCTGTTTGTCAGCAGTATATAAATACACACTGCTCATGTACTGAAGGGTTCCTGGCCTAAGGCGTGTTGTTAATTTATGCAGACAAGAAGAACTGGGTGGTGGTAGGCAGAAGCAGCCAGGGGACATCTGTCGGTTTGCAGAATAGCAGGTTTTGTGAGAAATGAATTGCAAGGATGGGATTGAAGGAAGATGAGGAGAGCTGCTTGTCATCCACTTGGTTGCCTCGTGGAGCTGGTGGAGAACATCGACAAGGATTCACATAGCAGAAAAGAAGAAAGAAAAGCAAGGAAAAAATACAACCGAGGAACGGGCCTTCGTGTAGGAACATGAAGGGTTTGTTTTCAGTCACTGAATTCATAGGAAATAAATAACTCTTCAGGAGTGCACACTGTGTTCAGAGTGGGCCCAAGTAGCACGATGTTAGCCAACGTAATACAGCACTATCAAAACTGAGATAACGTGTTTGATTTGGCAGTGGTTTCTATAAAGTACCCTCCTGGTTGTTTTTCTACAGGTGTTTGCTTACGATCACTGCTTTTGGTCTATGGATGAATCTGTCAAAGAAAAATATGCAGGTAATATTTGCTGTAGCTTTGTGCGTGTTGTCTCCGAGAACAAATGGTCTAATTATAATGCAGTATTTGCTAAAGGGCACAGACCATATGGCATGGAATATCTTTCCCCAGTATGACTGCTTGTTGTCAAAAGAAAAAGGAAAAACTTAAATCATTACTGTTTTTCTTTTCTACAGATGATGATTAGGATAGCAATAGGCATTGCTACCCATCTGCAGTGCAGGAAATTGAGAAATCCATCAGAATAATGGGTTACTCGTATTTACATTTATATTTTGAATACTGTTCTAAGTGCATCATTTTAAAAGCATCAGATCAGTTTCTTTCCAGGATATGAGGAATATTACTATAATATACCTGTTTGTTTTCCAGTTCTGATGAAAGCATCTTATTAGAACTTAATAATTGGAGTATTAAAAAAGCCTAATTTAATACAGGAGTATTTAATTAAGAGATTCTGGGGTATTATTGGCATATTTTGGCAAACAGATTTGGTTAGATCTGAAGTATGTTAGAACTTAACAGTTGGTGATCTTTTCCTTTTTTCATATTCGTTACCTTTTAAAAATTGTATTTAGTTTAGCTTGTTTCCATGGATTTAAAAACAAATAAATAAAGGATGCCAGTATTTGTAATAAGTAGTAGTTCAGTGAGGAATTGAGTGTGATATACAATGGGTTTATTTGACCCAAACCATTTAGATAGGCACAACTATTCGGAGTTCTGATGGGAAAGTTTGCATGCATCAAGTCTTGAGTTGGCTTGAGTGTAAAGTTATGGACTTAATGAGGGCAAGGAAAAGCAGTGTTTGGTATGTGAAATTCACAGAATCACAGATCCCTTAGAGATAGAAGGGACCTTTAAAGTCCACCTAGTCAAACTCCCCTGCAATGAACAGGGACATCACAGCTAGATCAAGTTGCCCAGGGCCTGGTCCAGCCTGGCATCAACCACATCTCTGGGCAACCTGTTCCATCAGTTCTTCAAGAAGTGGTAACCCTACATTTTGCTAATGCATACGTCTTTTGTATTACCTCCCATGTAGAGGTGATTTCTTCTCTGCAAAATCACGTTTGGCAGTAGTTAAAATGTATGGGTTGAGGACATGTTGAGGTGCTGTCATTCACCAATGGGTGAATTCATGCAGCTGGTAGTAGATTTTCTGCTGATAAAACTTCTGAGCATGAGGATTGCTAGCATGCTGTTGTAAGCACATACACATATATGCACAATAATCATAGATTGTGAGTTTTGTAGTAGTACACATCTGCAGCATATCTACCAGCTGATGTCTGTGCTGCTGTTAAGAGAGCAAATACTGAATGCTAAATAATTTATTTAGGCAAGAACAGCCAAAAAAATGCTCTTTGCTTTTACATAATTATTGAAGAATTCAAAACAAGAAATAAACACTCTCCCACCTTTTACAATGCTAGCTTGTGTGCTTTATTTCTTAGGTCAAGATGTTGTTTTCAAGTGCCTTGGAGAGAATATTCTTCAGAATGCCTTTGAAGGCTATAACGCTTGCATCTTTGCCTATGGGCAAACTGGTAAGTCCGTTCAGAATGTGTGCAAAACACTGACACACAGGTTGTTAATGTTCTGAGTGGAAACTTTCCATGGCTATAGTGACATTATTTCAGGAGAAATGCCTTACAAGACAGGCATTTTTATGTTGTGCAAACATCAGAAAATGTTTCTTCTCTTTTCTGACATTAGATACAAGGTGGACAGGATGAGAAATGCTTGTATCTGTTGCTGGCTACCCTTATTTTTCACACTTTGGATTGTTATCTTTGATCGTGACTGTCCTTGAGTTCAGTGCATTACCCTTATTTTCTGCCTCTGCAGTCAGAATAAGCTTTAATAATCATCATTTTAAATGTAATATGCAAAAATGAATATGCTTGCCCAGCTGATTTTTTTCCTTGTGACATGCATGTGGGTATCAGTGGGTTGTCCTCTATAGCAGAACTATCTGTCTGAAAGGCTTCTCTGTTTGAACTAAATTACTTGTTTTTCTTTTCTTTTTAATTGTATAGTTTTTAAGTGATGATGTTCTGGTTGCTTTAAAATAGAAAACTGCACAAATATCTTTCACTAAAATGCCAGGTTTTTGTCTTCTCCGCATTTGCCTTCCTCACAGCAAAAACCACTGTATTGCACGTTCACTACTTATAAATTCAATCACACAGGATCTGGAAAATCATACACAATGATGGGTACTGCTGACCAACCTGGATTAATCCCTAGACTTTGCAGTGGTCTCTTTGAAAGAGCACAGAAGGAAGAAAATGAAGAGCAGAGTTTTAAAGTGGAAGTATCCTACATGGAGATATACAATGAGAAAGTCAGAGATCTTCTTGACCCGAAAGGGTAGGTAATGTGTGTGTGAACACTGTAGTATGTTGTCATACACTTTTTTTTTTAACATACCAACTTCATTGAATCATAGAGTCATAGAATGGCCTGGGTTGAAAAGGACCACAATGATCATCTAGTTTCAACCCCACTGCTATGTGCAGGGTCACCAACCAACAGACCAGGCTGCCCAGAGCCACATCCAGCCTGGCCTTGGATTCATCCAGGAATTGCCTTAACAGATCCCCTCTAAGGCATTTGGGTTTGATGATTTTCTCTTCCTCCTCATGTCAGTGTCTTTTTATTTTAAATAAAAATAAATAATTAAGGCTAAAAGCGTGGAGTAAATTCAGTCTAGTGCCAGCTTCTCTGAAGTGACAAAAATGTCTGTGTCAGCGTTGTATGTGTAGACGTAAGGCTTCTTAGTTGCTTTAAGTCCTTGTTCTGTGCTTTATTTTGGTAACTGTAAGACCACCATGTTTGAGATCTATCATTGAGAAGCTGATTGTCTGTAAATGTTGTCTTACATCAGGTACATGCTTATAAATAACTTTTTTTTTTCCAACCAGAAGCCGTCAATCATTAAAAGTTAGAGAACACAGTGTTTATGGTCCTTATGTAGATGGGCTATCCAAACTAGCTGTTGCTAGCTACAAGGTAAGGATCAGTTTTATGAAAGGCTTGTGTTGGCATCCTGTACACTAGGGTACTGTCCCTTAAGCAAAATTATTAACCTACTTCTAATTGCCATGGTAAATGTGGATTTTAGAGCAAGAGAGCTGTACGACTGTTGTACTGTGATCACTGGGGAAAACAGTCAATAGCAGAAACTTGTTTTCATTCTATGCTGTTCAGTAACTCTCAAGGTCATCGAACTATGTAATGTAACAGCTTTCCTCCCAAATTTAAGATGAGTATAGCGTGTATTAATGAGAGGTGTTGAGTGATTGATTACAGAACCAGCAGTTAGCATAGACAGGCTTTCAGTATGGCTTGTTGTCACTTTTTGTCACCTACAAGTAGCATGCAGGCACACTGGAAATACAAACAAGTGGTTGTTTACATGACAAGTACTCATTAACATTGCTTGAAACTTTCCTATTGGGCAGTACTATACCTAATTGGGTAGCAAGTGTATGTGTATGAATTTGTAAAATGCCCCAGTTTTTAAGAAGTACTGATGTACGATGGGAGAAATCACAAAATCATAGAATGGCCTGGGTTGCAAAGGCCCACAGTGCTCATCCAGTCCCAACCCCCTGCTGTGTGCAGGTCACCAACCAGCAGCCCAGGCTGCCCAGAGCCACATCCAGCCTGGCCTTGAATGCCTGCAGGGATGGGGCATCCACAGCCTCCTTGGGCAACCTGTGCCAGTGCCTCACCACCCTCTGGGGGAAAAACTTCCTCCTCAGATCCAACCTAAACCTCCCCTGTCTCAGTTTAAAACCATTCCCCCTTGTCCTGTCACTAAAAGGTATGGGGTGGAATTCTGCCATTTTAGCAAAACATGAGAACGATGAAGTCCTTGCTTTTGTAGTCTCTCCATGTATTTATCTACCTCTCTTTGTCAGTTTCTGTTTATAGCAGATACGTTGCATGCATTTCTGTTTTATGTTGCCCAGCAGCTTTGCATAATTCAGCATACCGAGTCAGAGTGTTCTGTGGTGTGCTTTTAATTGGTTTTGGTTTTCTTCAGCATCATCTACCTAGGTGGGTAAATAAAAGCTCTGAAGAGGTGTTTTACAAGAGCATCCTGAAACAGGGGAGCTACGTATTTCCTAACTACTGCAGTCGCTGAATTTCACAACATTGTTTAATTTCTAGACTGTAAAGGGAAGATAAAAGTAGTTGTTTGTTTCTCACACTGTATGAATAAACAGTGGGAAATGTGGTGGAAGATGCTTGCTAGATTTCACCAACATGAGATTGCTTTGGTAGATAATTGAAAAGCATTATAATGCAGGTTTGCTTATGGCTGTGAAAATTGTGTCTAGGACATCGAGTCCTTGATGTCTGAGGGCAACAAATCTCGCACAGTGGCTGCAACCAACATGAATGAGGAGAGCAGTCGGTCCCACGCAGTCTTCAAGATTATCCTCACCCACACACTCTATGATGTGCAATCGGGAGTAAGTAAAACATGTTATAAAGTCCAAATGTTAAGTCTGGACACGTGTCTTGTGCTTCAGTGTATTTCATGGGCTATGAAAATGTTGAGTGGAAAAGATCTCTGTAGGTCTTTTGCTGTAGTCTCCCATTCTCACTGTTAGCACTGGACTAGGTTAGCTAGGTTAGCTAGGTGACCTTGTCTAGCAGAGTTCTTGTACTGCTCACATGCTGGCAATCAAATGTAGAGAAATCAGTGGGGGAATCATGTAGGGAAATGTGGTTTTTGTGATGGAAAGCAGAAACACAGGTCCAGAGTTGGAGCAGACATACTGGAGGGTGGAGGAAGCATCTCCTAATCCTAGAATCTAAACAAAAGAAACTTAGTTTTAAGCAACAGTTTGTAGTACAAACTTGGAGGAGAGAGTAAATGCATAGTATTTAGATGGAAGACAGGAGTACAAGAACAATTGAGAGTACATGTGGCAATCTCCTTCAAAGGATTATTTCTTGTAAGTACATACAAAGGATCAACTTCATAAACAGAAATTCTTGCTAATTTCAAAGTGTGAAAAATACATTTATATGTAAATATTATTTAATCCCTTACTGAAAATGTAAGAAACTAAAATTGAAATGATCTCTGATACCAAAAGTCTTACGCTTGTGTTCAGGCAATTCTTTAATGTCTCCAAAGCCTTGACAAAATGTTGGCTGTACCTGGAGCAAATATGAAGAGTGCATGTGTGCATAATAAAGCTGAAGAAGCACTTAGATTTTCTCCTCCTCCTCACCTCAGTCTCCCATAATCCTCTTATGCAGACAGTTTTCCTCCTTCCCTGTTTGGAATTTTTTCCCATTTGCACTTCAGATAGTCAGACTATGCTAAACTCCCTGGTCTGCCACAACTTGCCTTTTTGTTTTTCCTGTGGCAGTACTGCATGCTGAATGTTTTGCTGTCTGGTCAGCTTGGATGCAAGTTGGTCATTTTGATTGTATTTACTGCTTCTTTCAGTGACCGCTATGTACATTTTTGCAGTCCATTTCTCTGGTTTCCTGTCTGCTGGTCATTTCAGTCCTGGAAATGACCATTTCGCAATGGCCTGACACTTACATTGTATTTTGAAAGGTTTGGAGCAATGTTTTTGGAAGCATATTGATTGTAATTACCGTGTTCATTTAGCAAAATGTAGTACTTTGCAAGTGTGATACTGAGGTACTTCTATAATAGATCCTGCAAAAGAGATGATGTAACCAAGTGGTTCTCAATGACCACGTTAGCTCTTCAACTGTAAATTGCTGCATGAAATTTATGGAGTGTTTCAGAATGCCGTTTTGGGTCAAGTGAGATAACTGGCAAGAATTACGAGGAATAATGGAGATTTGTAACAAAATCCGTCACAGAATTAAAACACATACCAGATGCTATGTGTTAACTCAGATGTTGCTAAGGATATAGGAGACTTTTGCAATTATAACCATTTTCATATATTATGCTAATTGTCATGTTCATTCCTACTCACTGAAAATCGGGGATGAAACTTGATATAGAATCTGAGATTTTTGGATGTTGTTTTCACAATCAAAGGCAGAGATTGTAGACCCCATGGATTCTTTTGATGTGGCTCCTTGGCCTGTATCCCCTTCTTGATTTAACATTTGACTGATGTGCCCTATGTTCCCCTCCTCTGGAGAATGCCTGAAAGACATCTGACTTCATACCCTCCTGTTTTCTGAGCTAGTGAGTTAACACACCATATTGTTCAATCTGTAGCAGGGCTACACCAAGAAATGAAGCTTGATTTTTGCTTGAAAAACTGTTGTCAAACCATGTAACTTGATTTTAGTGGTGAAGGAATGATAGCTGTTCTCTGGTTCCTTTTGCAGACGTCAGGAGAGAAGGTGGGCAAGCTGAGTCTGGTGGATTTAGCAGGTAGTGAAAGGGCAACTAAGACTGGTGCTGCAGGAGACAGGCTGAAAGAAGGGAGCAACATTAACAAGTAAGAGTTGGTGATTATTTCTTCTCCTTTCATCTTTGTGATTGTGACTGCTAAATGTAGTATCTGAAACAGGATAAAATCAGTGTCAGCTTTTATAGCCTTTTTTCTTCTTCCCCCTCTCTCTCCATCTTGTATTCAGGACTCTTAGATGTTGAATGAGATCTCTGCCTATTTAAAATAGCTGGCATCTGTCTTTCTGTTCTTGTGTTCCTGCAACTACTGCTTAATTGCATGATTATTAAGGCTGAAAACATGTATTGAAAATGAGCAGTTGAGTTTCTGTGAGAAAAGAAGGGTTGAAACTGTACGAGAGGCTTTCCCATTGGAGCTCATTTTTTGAGAGAAAGGGGCAGTCTAAATATGCATTTGCCCTATGAATATTTACACTTGTTAATGGCTGCTTGTGTTCTTGGTGCAGATCCCTTACAACTCTTGGACTGGTTATTTCTGCCTTGGCAGATCAGGCTGCTGGCAAGAACAAGAACAAATTTGTTCCTTATCGTGATTCTGTGCTCACTTGGTTACTTAAAGTAAGTACTTCCATCTGTTATTAAAAAGAGAAATAAAAGAGAGGAGAAGAGTCCCATTCATTGAAACAAAACACTATTCTTTTGCCTTATTTTCTGTTCTTTTTTTATTTTAACTATGCTTGTCTTTGGAAAAGTAGCTGGATAGAAGCCATTGGTACCTTCACAGACTGAATTTCTTGTCTTCTGCTGATGTGTTATGGCCTAGAGAAGAAGGAATTTATCTTTTCTGGGTCAGTTAATGCACAGCTTCACACAGAACCTTGGGGCTGATTTAATTTGGGTTATTGCCACATGTAACTGAATTTTACGTACTGGCATGGGTACCTTTGAAGATTTTGATTAAAACTATTAGCTTTTTCTTAATTGTCTAATATATTTACCAATATACTCCACTTTTGTCAGAAGAGTGTAATTGCAGTGTAATTGCAGAGCGTTATCCCAGTTACAGTCTGAGGAACAGGTCATAAGGATTTTGCCATTATATTCATCCAAAATGGGCATTGATTTCACTCATTGATTGCACTGTTTGATAATCTGGGGGGAAAATATAAGCCTTTATTGTGATGGCCCTTGAATCTGTGAGGTCTAAATGAAAAACAGAATTGTTAAATACGAGTTTTCTCTATGTCAAAGTAAAGAGCAAGGTCTTTTTTTGTTGTTCTTCCAACTTCCTACATGCTGTGACCTTAAAAGCATGTAGACTGCTAATTAAAGTTTTGGAACGCAAATTTAATTTTAGGCATAGAAATGTTCTGAATTTGTCCAGTTCTCTGAATGAGTGGCAAACACAAATGTAGCCACTTCTATGTAAAGAAAAAACACAAAAATCCAGCACAAAACACCCTCTAGTAAAGGTATTTTTTCTTTTTTTGTCATATTTTACCTGATGCACTTGAGTGATCAGAAGAGACTTAGATTTTGAAGGATCATTAAGAGAGGTATGGTATACAGAAGATTTGTTATCAAACACGAACCTCTTGTTCTCCCATTCTGCTCAGAAGCTCTGTGTATTTTGCTGACGGCTGCTATGAAAAATGTAATTTTGAATCTTTAGATTTTTATGTTTCTTACACAGAAATCTTGAAGACTGGGCTGGCTTACCTTAAAAATAACTGCACGCACTTATTATCATTCTGTTTGTAATGACTGCAAGCCCAGCCTTTCCAGGGCTGATTTGCAGACATTAATGAGAAACTGGTTTACTATTCATCTACCTTTCTTTCTTAACATTGAGGAAACCAGTGAAATCAGCACAACGGTTTTATACACAGAACTTTATCAGGCAGTCTGCCTTTGGGCTCGAATAGCCACCAGTACAAGAGAAACTTCACCCAGCTTATAATAGATGTATTGTGAATAGGATGTATCACTGTAACAGCTGCCTGTGGATTTGTGATTTAGATGGTGAGTTAATCCAATTTTGGAGCCAATTAGTACAGTTGATATGGCTTTATTTGGAAGCAGTGTACCTGGCCAACTCCCCAATACCTTCATCTTTTTATGCAGAACAGGGATTGCAGTTTTTTGCAGAGTGCCATTTCTAATCTTTGCAAGCTGATGGAGATGAGTCCTGGCTTCTGGATAGGCAGAAATCCCATCAAATGAGTTGTGCTCTTGTTGGGCTCTTTAAACTTTTCGTTGGATGCTTTGGAAAAACATTTCTCTGTTACAGCGTGAATCCCTGCAAGGCATGTAAATTGAAATAATTTGAAATAAAGAGTGGCTGCTCCTCAGATGCAGAAAATGTGGAAAGCAGCCAGAAGGCGATTCTTTCTGCTTGGCCTCTCTATAAATATCATTACCTGCAAGTTTTAGCCATGCCAGCATACCTCACTGTGCTGAACACAATGCAAATGGGTTTATCCTCCCTAGCTGAAGAGGTGACAGCACCTTTCCATGAGCAGAGACGGCAGAGTTCTAGCAGTGCAGCAGTGAAGCAGCACCAGCCTGTGTGGCCAGTGCTTATCTGACCACTGAAGCAGCCAGGCTGCTGTCAAATGGTTTTAGGCATCACACAGCAAAAAAGTGTCTTAATGACAGACTTAAAGGGCTGTTTTAATGATTGCTAGGAAAAGCTGTGTGTGTGCTTTGTAATTGAAATGGTTAGACAAGCAAGCTAAAGTAGTCACGTTGCTCTAATGGCAGTGCATGACCTAGGTTTCATGGGTTATTAAAGATGAAAGTTAATAATGTGGTCCTTCTCAGAAAGGGTTGTTGAGGAGAAAAAGGAAAATATAAGAACAACAGATTTGCTGCAAAATTTAAAATGAAATGTTTTATTTTCTGGACTAGCCAAGACTGTAAAACGTAATTTTGCAGTCAGTAGATAGATGGAATGTGTCTTTCCTTCCCCCGCATCCTGACACACTGCCTTGCAGGAATGTGGTTTCACGCCCTTCTTCTGACAACCAAATTCCAAAAGGGCAATTTCTGACATAACTGGTTTGCGAGCTGTGTGAATAGGGCAGAAGGGCCCATTTTGAAATGGTTACAGAAATAAAATCAACTGTATTGTTGAAGAGGTCTTCAAGTAATTTAGATAAAACATGTATTGAATTCTGAATTTGTTACGATCCTGCCTGAGCTCCTTGAGTATGACATTCTGTCAATGTGCTAAGGAAAAAAAGGGAATTGCAAATAAAAATGTTACTTGATTTACAGGGCTCAGAATATTAACAGTGAACTGGGGAGCTCAACTGAGGAGCTCTGAGAAGTACATTGCTTTTACTAGTAGCTCCACTCCACTTCCAGCCATTATTTGCTGCCTGAGTTCACTGTCAGGTTGAATAAAACCAAAAACCGAAGAAACATTCTGTTTTAACTTCATAACCGTGACCGCTTTCCAGGACAGCCTTGGTGGCAACAGCAAGACTGCCATGGTAGCGACAGTAAGCCCAGCAGCAGACAACTACGACGAGACCCTTTCGACACTCAGGTATGCAGACCGGGCCAAGAACATCGTAAATCATGCTGTGGTGAACGAGGACCCCAATGCTCGCATTATTCGGGAGCTGCGTGAGGAGGTGGAGAAGCTGAGAGAACAGCTCACAAAAGCAGAGGTAACAAATGTTTGTCTTGGCTTGTGTCCGAGCCACGCAGACCTCGTTTCAGAACTTTCTTACTGAGCTTCTGAAAGCAAAAGCCACAGAACGTTGGTGCATGATGCCTACAGGAAATCTCCCTTCGTGCTGCTTCCACTTTGCTTTGAGTTGATGTTGAAATATGGGTGATAATATGAGATACCAGGTTCCCTTCAAACACTCAGTTGAGCTGTTCTGTTTTTATTAGGGGATACAGATCAGAAAAGCAGGATGAAGAGGGAGGCATGGGGATGGGGTCTAAGGATTGTGCCATTTGTAGGTAGAGCTTTGCTTGTGCATTTTGAGAATTCACTGTAGCTAATTCCTGCAAGATGTGAGTTGACTTGAACAACATTTGCTTGCTTACTAGTTTTTGCCATTCCAAACTGAATCTCTTACAGGCATTAGACAATATAATGGATATCTGCATAGATTCCTCCTTGAAATTGTGAAGGCAACGTGGACTAAATGCAAGTGCAATGTGTGCTTGCAGCCCAGAAGGCCAGCTGTGTTCTGGGCTGCATTAAAAAGGGGTGGCCAGCAGGGAGAGGAGGTGATCGTCCCCCTCTACTCGGATCTTGTGAGGCCCCATCTGCAGCACTGCATCCAGGTCTGGGGCCACCAGTACAGGAAGGACGTGGAGCTCATGGAGCGGGTCCAGAGGAGGGCACTGAGATGAGCAGAGGGCTGGAGCAGCTCTGCTGTGAGGAAACGTTGAGGGAACTGGGCTTGTTTAGCTTGGAGAAGAGAAGGCTCCAGGGAGACCTCATGGTGGCCTTGCAGTACTTGAAGGGAGCGTAGAAACAAGAGGGGGAATGGCTGTTTATGGGTGTGGATAGTGATAGGACAAGGGGGAATGGTTTAAGCTGAGACAGGGGAGGTTTAGATTAGATTTGAGGAGGAAGTTCTTCCCCCAGAGGGTGGTGAGGCACTGGCACAGGTTGCCCAAGGAGGCTGTGATGCCCCATCCCTGCAGGCATTCAAGGCCAGGCTGGATGTGGCTCTGGGCAGCCTGGGCTGCTGGTTGGTGACCTGCACACAGCAGGGGGTTGGAACTGGATGAGCATTGTGGGCCTTTGCAACTCAGGCCATTCTGTGATTCTGTGATTCCATGAAGGCCAATAGCTAGAGCAATTCTGAGTTCTGTTCTCCAAAGTGACAAAGCAGTGCTGATATAATCCGACTGTTGTCATCACAATTTTTCTGCATTGTACAGTATTTGTCTCTTGAGATTGGCAGGGAATTCTAGTTATGATATTACAAATGTCTAATGAATTTTGAATTGTTCCATTTGAGCTAATGAATGTGCAAAGCATCCAGTAAGTGAGCATTGGTTTCTTCAACGTATCTCATGTTAAATATTTAAGATTTCCCCTAAAATATGAACGACGGACTCTTGAGAAGCTCAAGTACTCCCTATTTGTTTCATCTGTGAGCACTAATGCCAAAATAATGGCAGTTGTCCAAAACAATGAAGCAGTGTTTCCTAAATATGAAGTAATAAATATTTCCATTGCTAAGTATTCAGATCCCACCCCACTTGTCATTTGAGCAGCATTGACAAAGGGCATGGAAAAAACTGTTTAGTTTGCTATCAAGAGGCTGCACAGTAAAGGTCAAAAAGCACATGTTCTTGTTCTCCTTTCAGTTTGTTTCTTTTGTTGCCCATCAAATTGTTCTTACAGAAATGGTGCATAATGGTTCATTTTTAAAATGAACAAAAGCACTGCCTCATTATGATAGTTGAGTTACATTTTCAAAGCTCATTTCTAAATATAGAGGTCAATAAGTAGTTTTTTTTCTTCTTTTTTAATTCACTGTCCTTTTTGTTTCCTAAGGAGCCATGGCAGAACAGAACTTGGCAGTTGACTTTTTTTTTTTTTCCCCTGAAGAATAAGATGTTATCCTCTTTTCCCCTTTTCTTTTTTCATGCACTCATTTTGATCTTTTCTTGTTGGAATTAATGAAGAATGATAGGTTGATGGGCATTGCATAAATACCTACTATCCAAACAGTTTCATATTGTTGTGGTGAAATAGTGATGTTAGGAAGCCCGTAGGATTCCTGCTCAGGATAGTGCAGAAAGAATATGCCAGTACTGAGACTGGCAGAGGTGAATGTGTAGTGTAAAAACTTTGCCCTCTTTTGTATCAGCTTTGGAAAATGCATGTATAGGAACATCTGAATTTTTTTCCAATGGAAAGAAAAAAATCATGCATCCCAAATCAGGTTATATCAAAACAGACAATAAAAATATTGTGGTGGCATGGCTGTTCAAGGGACTGAGATGTTAGCTACGATTTAGAGGTTGCGCTTACCCAGATCTGCAGTAGGCAGGAGACAGATTGTTTCAGATGTGATTCTTTCTGGAAGCTCACATTGGTACAGAAATGAGATTAGCTTGTGTCTGAATATCTTTATGCAAATTTGCCAGTATTGTGTAATTGGTTTGCATTAAAGTTTATAAACTTCCCTTCAGCATCTGTATTTGAAGCTAATTAAACTAACTTTTTGATGGATTCTGCATTTGCATGCAATATGTATTTAAAACAACCCTTTACTTACTGATCGAGTATGCATTGTGAGATGAGTAATGATATGTTTCCTTTTTGCCCCATCTATGTGAGAGTGATGTGAAAAAAACAAAGCACAATAAGCTTTCTTGTTCCCTTTTGCTTTTATTTCTGCAGGCTATGAAATCGCCAGAATTAAAAGAACGATTGGAGGAGTCAGAAAAGTTGATCCAGGAAATGACTGTGACCTGGGAAGAAAAGTTAAGAAAAACTGAAGAGATAGCACAGGTTTGCTGGCTTTTCTTTTTCCGTGTCTGTAATGCTTATAAACAATAGGTTTGCTTCCTTTGTTTGTGTGAATCTCTTGCGGTTATGGGTAAGTAGGTCAAGCTTACTGCCCTTGTAGAAAAACTTCATTTAAATCCTATGATAGCTGGCTGTCTCCCAGATTACTATTCTAGAATGACAATAATAAATTGTCATTCTATGCAAATTAAGAGGTTGTTTGGGGAAAAAAAAAATCCACGGATGAGAGGATTATAGGGATTTTGTGTTCTTCAGACAGCAAAATTGCTGTTTCTCACGAAGGATGGAGCATTGAGAATGTTAAATGCAAGGTTATATACGGAGTGCCTTAATACCGAAGGCAAAGAGCATTTGGAGTATTAAAAAATAGAATGTTTGAATTCCTGTTTGTTTTAATGCCTCTTACACCCCTATGTTTTAATGCCTCAGAACATAATTGAAGATGATAGCTATGCTGAAAAATTGTGCAGGACACCAGGATTATTGCATGACACTTCCAATTCTTACCACACAAATGCTGATGTATATATTTGCAGTGGGGAACACTGAAGGGGGAGAACTATTGAAAGGTGATGAATAGCTTGTAAGAAAATTGAGCCTCCAATACAAAGCCCTTTTTGTAGGTGGCATGATCAGAATAGGCTTTGACTTGAGTTTTAAAGATCCATTGTAAGAAATATTCTTTCAAATAAGAGAGCTTCCTGTCTTTCAGAGCAAAATCATACCATGGAGCACCCTCTGTATAAGGGTGAAATTCAATAATAATAATAATTCTGATCTCATTTTACGCAGCAATTTGTAGGTGTAGAAATCCCGAGTATGCAAGGAGGTTGATCAAAATAATGAGATCAACGCTGCAGAATAAATCTGCCTTGATGTCTGCACACAGCTACTTGCTTTGGTGTTCTTCTTCATCTGAATTCTCAACCTGCTCTGAGCCTTGCAGCTGTAGAGGAAGTGAGGTTTGTTCTGAGGAAGGATGAGGACCAGTGTTTGTGCAGTGGAGGGCTTTTCATATGAAACAGGGAGGGCTGTGCCATATGAAAGCCAGTAGAAGGAACCTTCTCACATCATCCTCAGGCTTACACGAGCCCAAGGCTAAAGACATTTATATTATGGTTTGTCATGTGGTTTTATTCCTAGCCAGCCTCCACTACCATCTGCCTGACAAATTTCAGTGGTAGAATGTAGAGATAATTGTAAATCCTTGAGAAGGATCATTCCTCATGAAGAATAAGAACTGCTGAAGAGGAACTTGATAGAGCTGGAGGGACAATAAGGGTTCGAAGCCTTAAACACAAGGCAATTTTTTCACATCTTCACAGAGTATCTCACATACTTCTGATGTATTTTACATTCTTCAGTTACTCAACAGTAGGTATTGATCAAAAGTTAATGGAAACTGGCTCATTTTCTTTATGTGAACCCTTTGAGTTTTAGACCATGGGCAAGGTCTCTTTTCTTTATCTGTAACTGTAGATGATTTGGAATGATGTAAACATCAGAGCCTGGCACCGGTGATAGAAAAGAAAGCTTTGACATCACATTTCAGTTTTCCTCTGTTCTTTGTTTTGCTCTCTCATCACAAACGCAGATGAATTTTCCTTTCAAGGACGCTGTTGGTTTCATGGTGTGTAGGAAGACAGGGTAGAGAAAATGAAGAGGGAGTTGTGCTTGCCATTCTTTGCAATTTTAATCTTGGTTAGAGCAGTTAAAGCTCTGATGTTGAACAGAGAATTATACTGGATGCTATGGCATGGCAATTTTTTTAATGCAGTGCAAACTCATAAGTAAAGTTCAGAGTCATAATGAACTCCCCTCCACTATTCCTATATAATCTCTTCTAAATATTTTTTATTAAGTCTCAGTGGCACAGATAAAGCTGTTGTGAGTCTCATATTTTTTACTTATTTCATTCTTCCATTTTTGATTCCATTTCATAATTCCCTGAGGAGCCTCCCATGTTTTTGTTTTTTTAATTTTGTTTGCTGTTGTGGATAGGGAGTTTCATTTCACTTTCAGTTTCTATATGATCCTTGGATCAATTCTCAGTATTCATCTCTTTTTCTTTTCTGTAGAAGAATCCCTTTCTGTTTTGTTTTCTCTTTAAGACAGAAACGCTTAATGTTCCTATTTCCCTGCTTTAGCCTTCACCCTACCACTTCCCTTTGAAAGATGTACTTTTTTTGCACAGTAATGCTTTGTTGTGGAATTCTATGAAGTCCATTGACAAGAACAAAACATCATCCAAAATGGTACTATTCTTGTTCAGCAGGAAGTGTTATTTGCATAGCTTAAATAGAAGGTTGTCGGGTTTTGGTCGTTTTGATTTCTAAGAAATAAAAGATAGACGTGGAACTTGATTTGGCAGGGTGTTGACTTAACTTTGAGCCTTTTAGCTCAAAGAAGAAAATAAAGGGCTGAAGAGATGGCTTTGTGGTACTGCTTGCTGTTCAGTGAGGTCACAGAGAAGCTCCTACAGTACTGCAGTGTGCTGCCTTCAGCTGTTGTCATTTTGCACTGAGAGGATGCAACTGTGTGAGACCACAGCACGTAGCACTCCGAGTCCAGAGGTAGAAGGGCCAGAGAAATTGCAGACATCCTGCTGTAAAGTTGGATACAGCTCAGGCTTTTGCATCTCATCTATCACAGAAGAAAGAGCTGCCTTTTTCAGGAGGAGCCGCCCTTCGTTTTGCCCTGTTGGTTTTGGCAGGTAGGAATGTGTTTCCTAGGGACTGGACATCAACCAGCCTGGGTTTTTTTTATGGCAACTCTCTTACAGGAACGTCAGAAACAGTTGGAAAGCCTTGGCATATCGCTTCAGTCTTCTGGAATAAAAGTTGGGGATAATAAGTGCTTCCTGGTGAATTTGAACGCAGACCCAGCTCTCAATGAACTCCTGGTATATTATTTAAAGGTAAAAATAAATATTGATGTATTATTTTTTTTTTCTAACAGAAGTAGGACTCTAATGCCATTGACACAGATGTACAAGTATTATTACAATGCATATCTGAAGCAAATCCGTGCTATTCACTGCTTCATTTAGTATGAATGTGACCTTTTTACTTCAAATGTAGTTCTCTGTCACAGAGGAGAGTTTGGGATTTATATATATGTATACATGTATTTATGTCACAGAATCACAGAATTCATATATATATATGTATATATTTATATATATGTATTTGTAGAGTCATAGAATATCCCGAGTTGGAAGGGACTCATGCAGATCATTCAGTCCAACTCTGGGAAGATTTACATATTTAAAGAAATTTTGAGGTGTTCTCTTTTATAAATTATCTTGCATTTTTCAAACATCACACAATTTTACCCAGAGAAATGATTTGTATAAGGATTGACCATATCAGTAATCAGCTTGCTACCCCATGTGTAATCAAAATTCTGAGTTCTGATTTCAGCTTATCAGATGTATTTTTATTCCTTTTCACGCAGCTCACCAGGAGTGAAAATCAGGTTCTGTTCTGCCTATGCACTTCTCTACACTGATGTGCAGTGCCTGTTACTGATGTCAAACAGGAAATGTATGATGTGGCTTTTGGACTCTGCCCTATGACTACTGGGCAGTTTGTTCTACTTGAGCTGACCACGTAGATGTGATCTGGAGGCAGGAGGTGAAATGAGAGGCAGCTCTTTTAAAGTCACAATTAGAATACAAATTCTAATAATCTGACAGCACAAAAACTCTGGCAGTTTAAGCTTCACATTAAATCATTCTCTTTGAAGTGGTGTGTGTAACTCTCAAAGCAGCCACACATTAGCAATGGGGCTGGAAGGTGGTTTTGTTTCAGGCTGTCTGTGATCCTCTTTTCTATCAGTCATATTATTGCTCTGTGGTGTCTCAGTGAGAGCAAAGGAAAACTTTTCCGTTGTGTTCTATGCTTTAAAAAAAAAAAAAAAAAAAGACAAAACAGCTGAGCTGAGATTTTGGGAGAAAAACTGAAGGTGCTTTGCCTGTAGATATCCAGAGTGTGACTCAGGCTGCTAAATCAGCCTCAGCACTGACCATTATTGAAGCAGAGCCAACCTCTGTGGTGTTTGTTGAGAACACATAACAAGAACTCACTGAAGACTTCTTAGGCATCTTACTGACGTTCTCTTTGATGTGTTCTTTCTTATAAAAGCTCCAAAGAAGAGCTTCACCTCACTTATCTATTGCGTCTACTCCTCAGCAGTTGCTTACAGATGCCTAGAGATGCCTCAAAAAGAAATAGATGAACTGGAGCACATGCAGAGTGCTTCTTCCTCGGCCAAGTTCCTTGTCCCTCAATACTTCAGGGATTGACTAAGCCAGAGGATGATCTAAATGGAACCTGTGTAATAGCCCTGGGTCTAACCACTGTGAACCTGCCTTAATTCCTCTTTGAACTCCTTTATTCTTTTGGCTTCCACAACATCCTGAGGCACTGAATTCTACGGTTTAATTGTAGAAACTTCTTCATATTTGAATGTAACTGTTAGCTGTGAAATTTCCTGTGTGCTCCCTTCTTGTTGCTGTAAAAAATAGTGAGGATTTGTGTGCAATGCTTCATTCCCCTTTTTCCCTTTGCAGGAAGTATTGAACAGCTTTCAGATTTTGGAAGTTAATTTTGAAGTTGTAGCCAGAAGGAAAATGGCTGTACACTATGTTAGTGTAGCACTGATGAAACTTTGCAACCCATTGCTAACATCTGAATTAATTTTCCTAGGAGCACACATTAATAGGATCAGACAACTCTCAAGATATCCAGCTATGTGGAATGGGAATTCTTCCTGAACACTGCATTATAGACATCACCCCAGAAGGACAGGTTATGTTAACACCTCAAAAAAACACCAGGTAAAGGCACAGATCTAGCTGTGTAACAATTGTAGTTTTATCTAGTACTTGATGATCAATGGGCAAAAAGATAACTGAAAAACCACACTCTTCCAGTGGGTAGGAAGTAAGAAAGTCTCTTGTATTTTGCTTGAGGTTTTGTTTGAGTTGTTATCTACTCTTCTGTCAGTTCACATATTTCATTCTGAAGAGATTTCTTTCACTGATGGCATTTATAATTTAAGTTTTCAAAGAGAGGATGTGTGAATTGCTTATGCTTTCAGCAAGTAGATACACACTGATTTGCAGCTGTGTAGATTTAACTCTATCAAAATTTGAATTAATTTTCTAGGAAATCTGTTGGTATGCAAAGAGCAGCTGAAGCATTTGTTGCTTTATTTGATTAAGTAGCAGTACTTGAAAAGCAGGTGGTATATTCAAACTGATCACAAAATGACATGCAGTGTCAGCACCTCCAGTAATTTATTGCAAGAGTCACAAAACTCAAGAATTTCACTTCTATCCTGGTTCATATTTGATCCTGCTGTGAGATGGCACGAGGTGACATCCTGAGATTCCCTTCAAATTTGTTATCCTATTTTGAGAGATCCTATTTTGGGGCTTAATCTGGCTCTGAAATAGAGGCAGTTTCTCTAATTTGCTTATTGTCTTTGAACTGTTTATGTACCAAAGTTCTCCTAAGGCTTATTCAAAGATATGTCTGTATTTCAAAGCAGTGAGAGAAGTATTAATTTCCAGTGACATTTGTTTCCTGCTTTGTCATCTTTAAGGCAATGTCTCCGGACATAGATGTAATATCTATCCAAAAGTAGTGAATTCTGCAGAGCTTAAACAATCAAAAGAAGACACAGGGCAGATGAGTGAAGTTTCTTTAGATATAGGAAAGAAATTCTTCACAATGAAGGTGTTGAGGCCCTGGCAGAGGCTGTCCAGAGAATCTGTGAGTGCCCCATCCCTGCAGTGCCCAAGGCCAGGCTGGACAGGGCTTTGGGCAACCTAGGCTGGTTGGGGGTGTCCCTGCCATAGGATTGTAGTAGGTTGTAATCCACAAACCTGTTTTCCTGCTTTAACAAGCTACATTAAAGCAAGCAGTACCAGAATGAGAAAATACTTCCTATTGTGGTTTTGTCATGATTTTACTTTAGCCTTTCATCTTTTCACAGGACTTTTGTGAATGGTTCTGCTGTTACGGGTCCTATCCAGCTGCATCATGGAGACAGAATACTATGGGGAAACAACCACTTTTTCAGGTAAGAAGGAAATTAAATTAATTGCAAGTTTGAACCAGCTTACTTTTTCACTTCACGGTATAAGTAAAAATATGAATGGAGCATGCAGGCTACAGAGGAAGGTATCACACCCAATGTTTGATTTGAATAGTTTGCCCTTTGGATTTTGCATCAATTTCAGACCTGTGTTATACGGTGATATCAGTCTATACAAGGTCACTGTGTTCTCTGTTCCCTGGAATTCCAGCTCTAGCCATACCTCAGACCTTCCTGTGTCAGACAGGAACACTGGCAGAAGTTTTCTGTGTAGGACTGTATGTGTGAGACCCTCGGTGGCTTGTCTGAATTACCTTAAAAATCAGGACATTTAAATGACAATCTGAAACATAATTGTTTTCTTTTATACTTGCCTCTATTTTATTTATATATTTGTTTTTTATATTTATATTTTTATATATTTTTATTTGTTTTTCGTATTTTATATTTTGTAATTCTCAAGAATATAATAAGACTAATATATATTTAAGAACATTTATCTCTATTCTTTGTTTCCTGTAAATTATTTTGGTGTGGGAAAAAACAGTAGTTATAGAAGCTATGTGATCAGTGGTTTCAGGTGCTCTGCACTATCAGAGCATAATGTCAATTACTTTTCCTTGAAGTCCCTTATTTACTCTGAGGAAAATCATGCTTCTAATCAACAGACAAGATCAACAGATTTCAAAAGGGAAAAATCTACTGATTTGGGTAACCTGCTTAATTTAAATGTGTTTTTTAAGCAACCTTTTGTCTCAAAGATGACCATGTGTTAGTTTAAGATTTTCTCCCTATTTCTACAGGCTGAATTTGCCAAAGAAGAAAAAGAAACCGGATCATGAGGATGAGGAGCGAGACAACTCTATGAAGTGCAGTAATAGTGTTGAGCAGCTGGATGTAGATGGAGACAATTCCAGTGAAGTGTCCAGTGAGATTAACTTCAGCTATGAATATGCCCAGATGGAAGTTACTATGAAGGCCCTTGGTAGTAATGGTAAGAAGCAACAGAAGTTATTAGAAATATGCACAGGGATGGATGCCCCTTTCCTGGAGGTGTTTCATCTTGGATGGGGCCCTGAGCAACCTCATCTGGTGCCTGATTAAGTGGTTGGCAACCCTGCCTGTTGCAGGGAGGTTGGAATTAGATGATCTTTGGGGTCCCTTCAGACTCAAGCCTGTGAATATGAGGTTATATTTTCAGGCAATGTTTAGCACCAGCTTTTTCCCTTGTAGCATCCTACTGGAAAACTTTTCTTGTGAATGACTCATTGCAGCCATTTTTGCCCTGGAGGGGAAAAACACCACCACAAAATATTTTGTTTGGCAGCTCTTGTTGAGGAAAAAGCTGAAACTGGAATGCTGGTGGAACTGCAGCCTCAAATCAGAATGTTTTTGCTTTGCTGTTTATTTTTCGTGTGTTATGTCTCACTCTGGCATTAACTGTAGTGATTTCTGTCTCTGCAATTATGTTCTTTAGTTCTTGTGGTCTTACATAGCTGCCCCAGATTGGCATTATTTTGGGACAGAAGTAGTTTTGTTAAGACTGATCTTTTCCAAACTCTCTTAAATCATTCACCCATTCTTCTGTTTGTCTTTTTTTTGCTCCACAGTTCAGCAGCATTTTTTAAATATGCCTCACAAACAAATGCAATCTCTTCCTCCTTTTATGCGATGTAGTTCTATGTTTACTGTCTAGTAAGCATTCTTCACATTTGATCTCACTGGCCACTGCAGCCCCTGGCATGGATATCTGTAGGTCTGTATATATGAAGCAAAGTATGAAGGCATGGTAATTTGTGCCTTGCCCAAGGCAGTGCAGAACATCTGTACAGAACCTGTGACAGAGCTCATATTTCCAAGTCCCCACTCTACCACATAGTCATTACTTGACTCCCTCAGTTTAATTTCGTGCTTACTAGATATTCGATATATAGTATATGCTTACTAGATATTCCACCCCAGAAGTTCTAGCTTCTTTATTTTTCAACGTCTACCTAGATCCTATGCAGTCCATCTTGCAAAGCCTGGAGCAGCAGCACGAAGAGGAGAAGAGATCAGCACTTGAACGGCAGAGACTTATGTATGAGCATGAGCTGGAACAGTTACGAAGGCGACTGTCACCAGAGAAGCAGCACTTCCGCAGCATGGACAGGTTCTCCTTTCATTCTCCCAGTGCTCAACAGCGTTTACGGCAATGGGCAGAGGAGAGGTGGGTAATAAAATCTGACTGGCAGGATTGTTCATTTCAAGTTCCTTGGTGCCAGTGAATTTTGCAAGGTTTAAATTGTGTTGCACACCTCTGTCGGCTTTCTGAGAAGACTCCTGCAGATGACTGGGGGGGACAGAGTGAAAATATTAGTTGAAGCACAATCAGATCAGTAATGCTGGAAAGATTTTAAAGTAAGAATGTCTGCTTTGTTGTTAAGGAGAAACTGTACCAGCATTAAATATGAGTCTCTTCTTTTGTAAATTCGTGACAGCTGCTGGAAGGTTGTTCTTCCTCCTAACTTGTATCCAACTGTCTGACCTGGGCAGGTTCTGGCAGCCAGAAGGTTGCAGAAAGAAAAGGGAGTAGAAGGGTGATACAAAGAATTTAGATCCAGAGGATTGCAAGAGCTGTGTAACAATCACAGAGGAGCCACAGGCCTCTACCTCTTCATAGACAGTTGCACTGAGTGTATTATCTTCTTCCTCTCTGTGATCTTTGCCAGCATTACTGACAAATGGTGCAGCTGCAGGAGGAAAATGAATCTTTCCCTAAAACAATAAGCATGGTAAAAGATGTAATGAGGAAACACAGATCTGATTTAAGGAGCATCTTTTGAAATGCAAAGCACCTGAGGCAGTCCAACGAGGTCTTAGCTGTCTGTCTAGAATATTTTGTGGTGCTGGATTCCTGCACTACATAGTTGGTGCTCTGATACATTTGCCAGGGAGGCCAGTGAGCAAGTGGGTCATGATGTCTGAACAAATCTCCCTCTGTAAAATGGAACGTCCACATCTGTGCTGGGAAAGCTCTGGAATAAGCCATGTAAGTACTGACTATTCAGCAGATAATTGGAGAAGTCTCCAAAGCTGGCAGTATGCTGATGTCCACACTACTAAATTCATACGGATGACTTTTTTTTTTTCCAAGAAGAAATGCCATTTAATTTGCCTAATTCTTGTGTTAAAAGGCTGAGTATTGACTTTTTCCCTGCCAAGTGATCCTGTGCTTTGCAGTCAGTTTCAATATCTAAATGCCATTTTCTTCTGTCTTTCTCTGCAACAAATTGCCTTCTAGAGAAGAAATGTTGACCCACAGCCTGAGAAAGCTGCGAGAGCAAATTGTTAAAGCCAATTTGTATGTGAGAGAAGCCAATTTTATTGGAGAAGAATTGGACAAGAGGACAGAGTATAAAGTCACCCTCCAGATCCCTGCTTCAAGCCTTAATGCCAACAGTAAGGTAATGTGGCCATAATGGAACTAAAACATTGTTCATGTAGTTTGCTCCTTGGAATTCGTATTCATCTTATTCTAACTAATGATCTAGATAGTTTGCATTGATGTTGAAGTTCACATTTCCTTCTGTTTAAGAGTGACAAAGTCCATGCAATTTAGGTGATAAAATCCATCATGGTGATAAAATCTATGTAGAATCCATCTACCAAATGTGTTTGCTGTCACCTTATAGGCATTTGCCTTTGCATCGTGGTGCTGAGGTGAGAAATTGCTGACATCCCTGTTGTACAGGGAGGAGCTGGAGCTGAGAGGATTTGGATGATTCCTTCCAGATGTCTTAAACATTTTGAAAGGAGGGAACCGAACCCAGAGTTCTCTGTTGCAGGCTGGCTACCTAAGCTGTCTTATCCTTTCTACTCTTGAGGCCAGCTCAAAATTTTAGTGATAGTAAAGGCATCATCATCAGTGCAGTAGCTGTATTTTAACCCAAGATCAGAATTGTTCTGAGTTGCTTTAGAAATTTCTCTTGTTTGCTGGTTTTTCTTGCAGTCTTCTGGCATGTCCAGAAACAGGACATTAGCAAAGCCTTCTGATGCATTCCCCCTCCATAAGGTGTTTTCAGGAGTTGAAATTGCCTTAGCTAGAACTTCAGGCTGATGTAACTTGGGGATATTTGTGAAATGCCTGAATATTCCTATTTGTAACACTTACCTAAGGTGACCATCCACTGTAACTACTGCCTGTGGCTGGGATGAGACATGGCAGTTAGACTGAAGGTGAATGTACTGTGACAGAAAGATTCAAGCTGTCATGCTTGAACTCAAATCATTAAGCTGTATTAAAAAGAACAGTCCAAACTTTGCAGAGGTGTTTTTTGTCAGTTTTTCTGTCATTTGTAAACTATTTTTCATTGCTGTGACATAGGATCTGCATTAATCTCTCTTTAATTGTTTCTCAGAGAGGTGCAATTCTCAGCGAGCCTGCTATTCAGGTGAGAAGGAAAGGGAAAGGCAAACAGATTTGGTCACTGGAAAAGCTGGAGAATCGATTAGTAGACATGAGGGATCTTTACCAGGAGTGGAAAGACTGTGAGGAAGACAACCCTGTAAGTAAAAACTACTCCAGTACTGTACCACTAGAATTCTTCTCCTATTCATTTTTTTGGTTAAGTAGATGTAAGAAAATCTTCTGGTTCTGGAGGAATGGTGTGGAGAGAGGGAGGGAAAAGGCAGAGGTAACAGTTTCTCTTAGCCTTTGTTTTGCTATTACTGAAGCAATCTTCAGCATTTCATCAGCCCTTATCGCATCACTTTGATGCTTGTTTGCATGCATAGCTCAGTGCAGTAAGGAAACATTATCAGAGCTGGGGCTCAGGCCGACTTCTCTGAATCAGACAGTGTTGGAGAACTTGTTGAGGACAGGCCTTAATACTCTGTGCAAAGTTAAAATCGTGTTTCCATTCTTCTTGTGTCCTGATCTGGCCTCTTGCTTGCATCCCCTTTTCCTGTTAGGCTAGTTTTGTAACACTTGGAAAACTGTTGTGAGAAGTTTGTTTTTCTTACGTTTTTGTGCATTTGGTTACAGGTGATGAGAGCTTACTTCAGACGAGCTGATCCGTTCTATGATGAGCAGGAGAACCACAGCCTTATCGGAGTAGCCAATGTCTTTCTTGAGTGCCTGTTCTATGACGTCAAGCTGCAATACGCTGTGCCAATCATCAATCAGAAGGGAGAGGTTGGTCGTTTTTTCCATTATCTATCCTTACTCAACTGCTTATTCACAGTCTGTGGATGTTAATACCACTATATGGTAGATATTTTCCAGTTTCTTGTGCACAAGATCTCTGCTAACAATTTGGGATTGTGCAAGTCCCATACTCGAGTTGTTGAGGCTTCAGATCCAAGCACACTGACTGTGAAAGACAAAAGCTTTGTTTGTACCCTCCAAAATGAAGCAGCCCAAAATACATATTAGAACCAGTATAAGCTATAGGTCTACTGCATTTCATTGACTGTTGTTCATAAAAGGCTGTTAAATATAACACAATAGAAAATCTTCAAAGACAGCTAGAGCACACATTCTGTGTGCACTCTGTGCCTTGCGTATGCACTTTGCAAACTCTCCAGAGACTGATGGGATGGTGAGTGAGATTGCAGCCTACTGTTCCCAAAGTCCCTCTAGTGCCTGATGGTTTGTAAAAACGGAAACTCCTTTACATCAGCAGTCTTTACTCCAAGCTTTCTTTCTCTGGTGCTACAAACAAGCGTTGCAAGACAACAGAAAGGAAGAAAAAATGTCTGCTGGCAGGCTGGAAACATCAGTCATAGTTATCTGAAAAGGGATGGATTTGTCACTGCTCTCTGGCATACGTATCATTTGTACTCCTTTTTCATCAGGTATCTGGCCGTCTCCATGTTGAAGTTGTTCGAGTGAGTGGAGAGATAGATGACAGGTTGGTTGGTGGTGAGGATAGTCCTGATTATTCCAATGAAAATGACACTCAAGAGAGAAAACTTGTCTGCAGGGTGAGTTCCAGATATACCCCAACCTCGTGAGTAACCTCTCTTTTCATCCCATCTTAAAATAACAAAGCCTCAGGTGCACTGGCTTCTGGACATTAGATATCTCTGTGAAACCTTGCGTGTAATGTTCATTTCCAGTATTCAACTACACAGAGAGAGTTCTGACTCTAAACTTGTTGATAAATAGTATGGAACGGTGTTGATGTTTCAGGATGAAAAAAAAAGTGACAGCCATTTAGCTGTGTGGTATGTACAGAGTTCAGTCTTCGGCTGCATTTGTTTTCATGGTCTTTGTTGCCTTCAGTCTCCATGATTCTTTGAAGTCTGCAAGGTATTCATTAAACTGTATTTATATACAAGTGCATACAATCTTATCCCAGGCAGTTTTATTGTATTCTTAGAAAACATGGAAGATTTGTGGCAGGGACTGGAGCTGTAATATCTGGTTCAAAAGCAGTCAAAGAATCTGATAAGCTTCCTTTGTTCTGTGAATCATTCTCTCCTTTCTTCACTCGCTTAAATATTTAATCTTTTGTGAAATATATACAGATGTGTTTTGTTTATTAATAATAAAAAGCAAGTGAGCAAGGAGGGTCTACTGGGAATTCTCTGTGATAGGAAAATGCAACTTAGGCCAAGCTTCAGATAGAAGTAAATAAGGGAGGCAAAAAGCACTGGAGGGAGTCTGACTCATTTGACCTTAATATGACAAAGAGGTAAATAGAAATTAAATAGAGGTAAATTACATGAAATGTGGTTGATGTGATGGTTTTGTTTAGAATGGATGTATCCAAAAATTGTAGTTTTATTTGTTCATTAAAGAAGGAAATGGGTGGGGGGAACATGCCTTACTTTCGTGTTGTCAGGGCTGTTTTAATATTACTCCCAACATAAGGACAAAAATATCTTTAAAGAAGGGACTGGCAGAATGAGAGAGCTCATTTTGGTAGAAATATACAATTTGTCTTGTATTCTTAAATTGTAACTGTTGCTGCATCTCTCCATTAAAAGTAAGTTAAATAATTTGGCCTGTTTCTAAAATTCACCGTGCTAGTTTTTATTCCCAAAAATACGTGATTGCTGACATCTAGTGGCCATTTTCAGCTGATGCACTCAAAATACAGCCTGCAGTGGATATCAGTGCAGAGGTACATCGTTAGTAAGCTTTTTTTTATTCCCAATAAACCTTCTTAGTTATCCCTTGCAGGGGAACAAAAGAAAATTGTTCTACCAAATGAACTTCCAAATTCTATGAAGAGAATTTAATCCTGATGGATAAGATCTTTTCCTTTGTTTCTCATCTCTTCTCTAGATTAAAATACTTCAGGCAACAGGTTTGCCACAGCACCTCTCCAACTTTGTGTTCTGCAAATACACATTCTGGGATCAGCTGGAGCCAGTTAATGTTGCACCTGAGGTGGATCCTTCCTTATCTCCCATCAGCAAGGAACCACGCTGCATGGTTGTCTTCGATCATTGCAACGTAAATATATATATTTTTTCCATTTTATTACTGGAACTGTTGGCAGGAAAACCAGGCTTATGCTTGCATAACACTGTTGGTTGCACGTTTGCTCTCATTATTATACTTCGTGAGGCTGATACCCTAATGCCATTTTTAGTAAGAACTTTCCTTGTAGTACACAATTCATTTGTACGAAAGTCACTGAAGGTGATGAAGTAGATTAATGAAGGAAGGCAGTCAGTTTGGCAGAGACTTATTAGTTTACCTGGAGTGAAAATGCAGCTGAGTATGAGTGGAAGTGTGACACCCTTCTAAGAACATGTCTGCATCTGACCTCGTTACTTTCCATTGACATCAGTGAAGAGACATGGGCAGTACTGGGACTTGCTGCCTTTCATCTCTAAGTAGGTGTTGAAGTTAGATAGATCTTAGAACAGGCTGCTTCCTTCTTTTCACTTCAGAGCCACTAGTTAAGTGGAGGCGTCTGCAATAGAGATCTCAGAATCATAGAATAGCTCATGTTGGAAAAGACCTTCAAGATCATCAAGTCCAACTGCAACCTGACCATCCTACCCTAACTCTAGCAACCCTCCACTAAATCATGTCCCTGAGCATCACACCCAAATGGTTTTTAAACACAGCCAGGCATGGTGACTCAACCACCTCCCTGGGCAGCCTTTTGCAGTGCTTTCTGAGATGTCAGAAGTCAACTTAGATTAATCCCCGATGATCACCTGAGTTCTCTTTGTGTTCTTCCTCTCATTTGTTATTACACTGAGCAATGAACTCCATTCATCTGTAAAGTAGGTATCGTACCCTCTGATGAGTTTGGAGTTGGATTCTAAGTTCTAGAACATAAGATATTTTTTAGAGGTTGGGTCAGGACTTGGAACAGGATGCGGTCATCTTACAGCTTGTTCTGGAATTTTATCTTTAAGCATGTCTTACATTGTTACCTTGTCTCCTGATTTTGCAAATCAAAATGACAGTTCTTCCTTTCCTCCACATTGTGTCTTGGGAGCTGCGGTAACTTTACTACATCCTTACGTTAAAGTCAAGACAGTGAGTCTCTAAGCCTAAGTGAGCATTGTGTGGTCACAGTCTTTAACCTGTTGTCACTTGCAGGAGTTTTCTGTAAATATTTCTGAAGACTTCATGGAACATCTCTATGATGGTGCTCTGGCAATTGAAGTATATGGGCACAAACAGAGCGGTGACCGCAAAAATCCAACCCTGTGGGATTTGGGAATCATTCAGGCCAAAACACGGAGCCTTCGAGACAGGTAAATACAGAAAGTAGGTTTTCTGTTTTAAAAATCTGGAAAGTCACTGTCTGAAGGGCTTAATTTTGGGGCAGATTTGAGATAAGTAGTCAAATTTTCAACTGAAAAAAGAATGTGTTTGAGACTTCATCTGTTAGGCTATTAGAAATAGACTATTGGGAGAACATCATGTGAGGTGTCAGTAGGTTTTAAAAATTGAAACAGGAGAAATGCTCATCTCTGTTTGAAATTAAAAGTGGCCAAACTCAAAGGACTTGGAAGCCCCTTTTATTTAAAAAAAGCCATGCACATTAGTAGTCTTTTAGAAAGGAGCAGAAAATAGTAAGCTGATTAATTTTTGTTGTATTGTCATGAGGATCTGAGCCAGAAAGAGTTATCAAGTCTAGAACAGCAAGATGATTGTTCTGACTGTACAGTGATGTATTTATTCAGGGTCAGACTCCTGTTTGTTCTTGGGCATGAAATTTTACCACTGTAATGCTTCCATTGAAAGAGATATAACTAATTACTTCAGTTAGGGTAAATATTGCAATAAAACAGTAATTCAAACTGAAGGGTTGTGTATTTCTTTATTGGCAACCAATTCTCATCCCCAAACTCAGCTTGGTAGCATTTTCTTAAATGTAAGTTGTTTTGCTCCTCCTACTGGAATACAGCTCTGAAACTTAATTTAGTGGCAGTTATTTCTCTTTTTATTTATTTCCAGCCTAAGAATTTGGTGAACATTTTGAGTATTAGGGGAAATACAGGAAAATATAAAAGAGAAATCAGGAAAATGTGGCAAAGAGAAGCTGTGTGTTACGAAGTAGTTACATTCAGTAGCTGAGCAGAACCTCCTTCCTTCTTAATTTTGAGTTACTAAAAACTGACAGTAAGTATTTAAGCTCTTGGAAGAGTTTGACAGAAGGCAGTGGTATGATGTAGTTCAGGAAGATGCCTTCATTTTGGAAAGCTTGTGAGACAATGTCATTTTCGTTTGGCTGTTTTCTCTATGGACTTGATAGCTGTCAGCAACACTGAATCTCTGTAGATCTGGTAGTTGAGACTAGAGCTTAAATATTAGCATCTAGTAGAATTGGTTTTCATAGTGTAGTGAAGAAAAGGCTTATTTCTGATGGTTGACTAGAAGGGCTGTCAGTAAAATGTATTATTTTTTAAATTTATTAGCATAGCTAATAAACCTGTGTGGTAACAAACAGCATCTATGGGAGTGTTCTTTCACTTCTTCAGTCTGTGGTCAGGGCCAATAGTTGTTTTTTTTTTTCTTCCTTCTCTCTTTTTCTTTCCTTCTCTTTTTCTTTTGGCAGAAAAAGAAAGAAAGAAAGAAAGAAACGGCATTTGATGTATTTTGCAGGTGGAGTGAAGTAACCCGAAAAGTAGAGCTCTGGGTTCAAATTCTAGAGCTGAATGAGAATGGGGAATACTGCCCAGTTGAGGTGACTCCTGCCAAGGACGTTTGCACTGGAGGCATCTTTCAGCTCAGACAGGTAAGGTGGCACGTGCAGGATTTCAGCAGTGAATAGAGACGGTGGGAAGCTGAGAGGGCTCTGTTTTGTGTGGACAGAGGGATGGTGTCCAAGTTGCTCTCAAGCCTAGGCATTGAGTATGATCTTGTGTCCGTGGAGTCCTTTTGTGTTTGGTGAAACTTAGAAAGTGTAAGTTCATACTTAAAGCTGATCAGAGGCTTATCTGAGATTTTTTGAAGTCCAGACTTCCCCCTTAATTGATGCTTTCAGCCAACTATTCACTTTCTTTTGAGTTGTACGTGCATTACTTAACATTTTTAGGTGACAAGCTATTGCCAAAGTAACACCGGGAATTAGTGAAAGTTACATACAAGCTGTACCTTTGAGCTCCCCAATTGATTTGATTTTTCCTATGGATTTTATTGAGGAAAAGTATTGATAGCATCAGCAGGTAGGCAAGAATTTTGAAGTCAAGGAGACCAGAGACAGGAAAAGGTCACTTAAACTTCAATAGCTCACCAAATAGGGCTGTTTTCTAACAATCTTATGGGTAAGAGATCCAACTTTCTGCCTTCAGAAGTATTAAAAATCCAATAGCTACATGTTCTGAAGGATTTTCCAGGCAAGTAAACTGAGTTGCTGAATGCTGATTTTTTTCGCCATGAATACCTGAATACTGCAAACATAAATGCTTGCAACAGAAAGGGTATCTCCTGTACAGCAGGTCACTGAGATTACCGTACTCAGAAGAGCATAATATAAAATGCTGCTTGCAAATGACTGCCGGTAGAGGTCTCTCTTTGAACATTTTATGCTCTGTTGTTGTTAACAAGCATTTCTCATTATTCTCTTGGACAGGGGCAATCTCGAAGAATTCAGGTTGAAGTGAGATCTGTGCAGGAATCTGGGACCTTGCCACTGATGGAGGAGTCAATACTATCTGTTGGAATTGGTTGTGTTCAAATAAAACACGTTAAGTCACAAAAAGTACCTGAAATTTATCAGGTAAGAGTCTGAATATGTCTTATAAGCTACTCATATTTTCAAGACATGTAAAAGCTTAAGGTTATGCCCCAAGTTTGTTACAGCTGTGCATTGCTTTCAAGTTTTAGTTGATTTGCAGCAGGGATAGGGAGGCTGTTATTTAACCTACTAGGTATATTTGTATGTGTGTAAAGCAACAGCAAGAACTGTCAGAATGCTTTTGATAGGCGACATTGGGAGTTAGGCAGGATGGCCTAAGTGCACGTCTTTCAGAAAGTCTTAAACAAAAATCATTTTCTGTGACAAAAGTGTTATTTGGAATGCGACCTTCTGGCTGTGTTCTGGATTGTGCTGCTTTTAAGGATAGGAAACACCGTAGTGAATAGCACGTTATTCAGGACAGGAAAGGGAAAGACAAACCTTCTAAAATTCTTTCGGAGTTTGTCCAGTAGATTTTACTTCAGATATTAGGTATGACAGTATGCCATATCAGACAGAACTGGCAAAGTCAGAATAGTTCTTTCAAGAGGAAGGACTTCAGTTCCCCTTCAAGAAGAGCCTGAACTGCCTCTGATGCTGGTAACCCACATGGGAAAGAGCTATTGAAAGCCATGTTATATTAGTTCTGCTGCTTACAATAGCTTTCTGACTTGAACATCTGGATTTTTAGTCCCCTCATTAGCATTTCTGTATCTCAAGTAAATCAGTATCTGTGGAATGTGAAAGATTTTCTAAAGAGTTTGAACTAAGAAAATGCCTCTTCTATATGGCTTTTTAATTTCTTAGCTAGATTTTTGCTTTCATTACTAAGATACAAAAGTAGGCTCCAGTGACTTGTTATTAGTTAAATAGATAAGTAATCACTTAGGATTGGAGATGTTGCTGCTGTTCCTTTCCCTGTGCAGCAGTGGCAGTTGTGCCTGCTCTCAGTGCAAGCAGGTCTGCTTGTGGTGCACGTCAAGAACAAAAGGTACTGTCTCCCATCAGAAAATAATGGCAATCAAAACATGTGAAGTCTACCTTGTGGCTGTTGGTGTGGCAGAGTTATTCCACCTCCTCAGCAATTGGCTTAAATGCTTACATTTTTTTTCCTCTATCTGGAAAGTGAGGTCTCTGTTTATTTTTTTGTGTTGGGACATGAGCTGCTGATAGCAGCAAATCTTTGGGATGTCACTGTTGCATTCTATGGTCACTGCTAAACTCAGACTTGTATGGATGATTGCTAATATTGCTTAAGGTAGCAGTACCCTTTACATTAAATGTGTTTCCTGCTGTCAAAAAGCATTATTGATGTGGTTTTGCATGTTTTGACTTAGGAAGAAGATGATGAAATGGACAGTTACCAGGTAAAATTTCTCATATTACAATCTTGGGTATTTTCAGATTAAAACATATTAAAGGAAGATCAGCATTTTATCTTTTCTGCATCAAAAGCTTTTCCTCTGTAGATAGCAAAAATTGAGACTTGCATAGGTTGTTATGCTACAAAGCCATACAGTGGGTTAGAGAGATAGAAACAAAAGAATAAGATATCTTGATCTGTATTTCAAAAGCATGGTCCAGTTGCTTTTCATTTTCTGTTTTGAGTAAAGGAAGGTGTCTGTATTTTGACAAATTATGGATAGGTTGAAATGTTCTTAATGTAGACAAAAGTAAGCAGAGTAGTGTTGAAAAGGCAATCAAAATACTTGTACTGCTTCACATTATGGATGTATGTGTGAGACCTGGAATAAACTACTGGGTAATCAAGCCCTGGACGTGCAAGAGGGGTTCTGTTCCTAGAACCCTAAGATGGCAGTGAAATAAATACTGAAATTTGCATGGTAATGGTTTGATTTTTTCTTAAATGTATGTAATGTCACTGTAACATGAGCCTTACAGGAGAACTGATGAAGTACAACATCTGTGATGTTTGTTTCACCTTTTTCTGAATAACTTCAGCAAAAACACTTCATCATCATTGTAGATCTCAACTTAGTGTAATGTGAGCAAAGAGATATTTAGGCTTAATGCTCCCTGAGAGATTGCTGCATACTTGCAGGGGTCTGCAGGTGAGTAATAAATAGTTTATAATCTTACATCCACTCATTTTTCTTGACAAACTATTTGTTGTAGCTTGTTTTGGAATGAAAGTGAACTGTTACTGCCTTAAAAAGAACCTTTCCTAAAGGCATCCCAGAGTGGATAGCTCATCTGTGTGGCACCCAGTATACTGCATGTAGAGTGTCACACACCATTTCTGAGATTTCTGTATCAGGGACAAATGAACTGAGTGTTCTTGCAGATACATAGATATTTTTTGAATGACCTGAGCACTCAAAAATATTTTAAAAGGCTCAGGTGCAAATGCCATAGCTAGGGATAATGGCATGATATGGGTTAGGAATGGATTCCTAATGTAAGGCTGCTAAATACTGAGCATCAGTAGTGAGCCATGAGCATGAGCTGGAGTTTCCAGCTCTGCTACAAAGTCATGGCTGCCAAGTTTTAGACGAGGTTTGAGCAAAGAAGGTGGATAAAGTGAAGTGTGTTCAGCTGAGCACTGGGTAGCACAAAATAACAGCTGGAGAAAAAGCCATGCCTTAAGCTGGCAAGCTAAAATGCTAAGAAAGCTTTTTTACCATAGTGGTAGTCAAACACTGTAACAGGTTACCCAGAGATGTTCTGGAGATTCCATTCTTGGAGATGCTTGGATCCCAATTGGACCCAATCCCAAGCAGGCTGCTGCAAACTGAACCTGCTCTGAGCACAGAGCAGGGCTGGACTAGGCAGCCTCCCTTCCAGCCTCAGCTATTCTGCATTGCTCTTTAAGCTGTCCTCTAAAAAAGTAGAGAGAAGAGAAGAGTGAAGTGATTCAGTAGAGGTTTGCTCTCTCTTTCTTATCTGCTTCTTGTGTACAAGTGAGCAATAGGGTTGAGGAAACATTTGAGCCACAAATAGGAAATATTGGCTTTTCTGAGTCAATAATTAGTATGACTTCTTTCCTCTGTACAGGATAGGGATTTGGAGAGGCTCCGTCGGAAGTGGCTGTGTGCCTTAACAAAGCGTCAGGAATACCTTGATCAGCAATTGCAGAAACTTGTTGGGAAGCCTGGTAAGCAAAACACACTGGAGATAACAACAGTGGGAGGCTGAGATACGCACAGGCACTTTTAATGTATTGTAAAATCATAGAATCATGGAATTGTAGAATGGCTTCGGTTGAAAGGGACCCCAAGGATCATGAATCTCCAACCCCCTGCCACAGGCAGGGCCACCAACCTCCACATTTCATAGCAGCCCAGGCTGCCCAGGGTCCCATCCAACCTGGCCTTGAACACCTCCAGGGATGGACGGGGCATCACAGCCTCTCTGGGCAGCTGTTCCAGCACCTCACCACTCTCATGGTAAAGAACTTCCCCTTGATATGCAACCTAAATCTCCTGTCCTTTAACTTCAAACCATTTCCCCTTGTCCTGCTGTTATCAACCCTTTCAAAGAGTTGATTCCCCTCCTGTTTGTAGGCTCCCTTTAGGTACTGAAAGGCTGCAGTGAGGTCACCCCGCAGCCTTCTTTTCTCCAGGCTGAACAAGCCCTGCTCCCTCAGCCTGTCTTTTTACAGGAAGTGCTCCAGTCCCCTGATCATCTTTGTGGCTCTCCTCTGGACCCTCTCCAACAGCTCCCTGTCTTTCTTGTGTTGGGGTACCCACACCTGGATGCAGTACTCCAGATGGGGCCTACAAGGGCAGAGTAGAGAGGGGCAATCAGTTCTCTGTCCCTGCTGGCCACCCCAAATCTAGAAAAGAAGGAGTGAAGTGTTGAATCTCTGAGTCTACCACTACTTCACTTTCAGTGAAACAAAAGTTGGAGAAGCTTATACAGAATTCAGTTGTTTTCGATGCTGTATGCTTCTTTGTGTGCTGAACTTCTGAGCAGAGTGGGTCTGATTTTATTAAGATGGTATAGCAACAACACATGGCAATGGAACTGAGTCAGAAATGCTCTCTGTTGTCCTTACTGACATTGCTTCCCCAGATAAAACAGAGGATGATGCTGATCGGGAGGCACAGCTTCTAGAGATGAGGCTAACGCTCACTGAAGAAAGGAATGCTGTAATGGTGCCTTCTGCAGGCAGTGGGATCCCTGGAGCTCCAGCAGAGTGGTATGAACATGCATTGCCACATGAAAGAATTAACATAAAAGTGATGCATGGCTTCTTCCTGACTTGAATCGTTGCCATTTTGTTGCTTTCCTTAATCTGGACTCTACACTGCATGAGGAAAGTTGTTAAAATTAGGACTCTTGCTTATATTATTTTATTAGGCTGTGTATCTGAAATCCAGAAATGCTATTTAGTAAACGAAACCACTATTGATCAGAGAGTAATTATGACCTTCTGAAGAAACGGAATCAATATTTATTACCACTGCACTTACCATTTTAAAAAATTAGCTAATATGTTAATTACCTAGTTCATTCACTTAAAAGGCTGCTCTGTCATAATAAAACTGCATCTACAGGAGCATTTTGTTGCGCTCCTGGTTGAAGTGCAAAGTTTGTTTAGTCAGCAAGTGTTCCATGTAATTTTCTAAACATTAAAAATAGTAAATTACACTACACTGAGCTTGCCATACTGTAGCAGCTGTGAGTAACAACTGCAGATAAGGAAGCAAGGCTGCTTTGCTTCAGACCTCAGCATTGGTTGCTTTCAACTTTCTGCAGTGTTTTTCTGAGCTAAACTCTGACGATATTTATTGATGGAATTGACTGTCATGGGGTTTTAAATGGAGATTTGTTAAAATTAGAATCATAGAATCATAGAATGGCCTGAGTTGAAAAGGACCTCAAAGATCAGCTAGTTTCAACCCCCCTGCTGTGTGCAGGGTCACCAACCACCAGACCAGGCTGCCCAGAGCCAGATTAGTACTTCTGAAACATAAAGATGTCATATGCTTTATTGGAGTACCATTGTCTTCAACATTAAAATACTGGGCTAGGTTTGAAAACAGTGGAGCTACAGGAAACTTCCTTGGGGAAGAATCTATTTTGAACACATTTTCTCCAAAGGACGTGTTCAGTGTGGTTCTTAGTGTGACCTTATACATCATATAAAAATCCAGCCTGCTCTTATTCACCATAAAATCATTAAGTTTGTCATGAGTTGGCTACAGCCTTTCTACAGCTGTGACTGTAGCTAGGTGTCTTCTAAAATGTCTTTGATGCTTCATATTCCATTTTAGCACATCATTAATGTTGTAGCTTTAAAGTGCAAGGCCACAGAACACTCAGTTTTTAAAACAAGCAGAGCACAACCTGTGTTATCCCTGAATCACAGAATCACAGAATGGCCTGGGTTGGAAGGGACCTCAAGGATCACGAATCTCCAACCCCCTGCCACATGCAGGGCCACCAACCTCCACATTTCATAGCAGCCCAGGCTGCCCAGGGTCCCATCCAACCTGGCCTTGAACACCTCCAGGGATGGACGGGGCATCCACAGCCTCTCTGGGCAGCTGTTCCAGCACCTCACCACTCTCATGGTAAAGAACTTCCCCTTGATATGCAAACTAAATCTTCCCTCCCTCAATTTAAAACCCTTTCCCCTTGTCCTGCTATCCCTGAATACACGCTGTGAAAAGCAGGCCTTGTGTGGCTGCTTGGGCTCTGAGACAGATGTGTTTTATAAGACAGAGAAACAGTTGTGCACTGTGGCAGCATCAATGGAAGCTTGAGAAGTTTGGTGCTGGATTTTCTGACCAACTCTGCTGTCTTCACTGACATCAATAATGCAGAGGGGTTTGCATTTCATAAATGTGTATGTCAGAGTAAGTAAACTTAATTTTGCTATTAGTATTTTAGAGGGAGAAGACATTTCTGAAAGCAGAGGTCAAAGAATATAATAATAGTAAGAGAGCTGGTATAAAAGAAGTAGCAATTTAGTTGAGACTCTGCAACAGTAAATTAAAATAAAGCTGTTTGGCAAGGTTATCATTGGTCTGACTTGGAATTGCAGTTGTACTGAATGTAATATTCTGTGAGCTTTTATCATAAAGTACGTGTGCTGGGTAAATCTGCTGTAATTTAAATGCCGCCATTGTCACTGTCTTACATTTTAGGACTCCCGTGCCTGGTATGGAAACTCACATTCCTGTTATTTTCCTTGACTTGAATGGTAAGTGGCTCTTAAAAGGACAGAGAACTTTGAAACAAACTTTGTACAACCAGTGATGTGGTAGAATTTAAAGCTAAGAAAATGATGAAATGCCCGGAACATCAGGTAGATCGATTTGAAATGACACGTTTTTCACTGAAACACATTGCTGAATGTTTCAAACCACACAGCATTATGTATGGAAGGGACTGTGCATTCTGACAACCCTGCTACTCTGCAGATGTTTGGGTCAGTAAAAAGGAAATAGTAAAATGAGCGTAGCCAACAGGATGAACAGCAGTCGATGATGTCATGAAAAAAGTAATCTCTGGATGGAATGCTCCTCCCGAGGCCTTGCAAGGTTTTTATGCTGGTGCTGTATTATGTCTTTATCAGTTGGAAGAAAATATGAAGTCACCATTAGTAATGCCTGCATAACAAAAATAAACACCGTGACAATTCAAATACAAGATCCAATGTGGTGTACTTGATTAGATAGTGTTAGGAAAGATGGGTAAATCACAGATGAGAAACGGAGAACCCCAAATAGACCAGGGAGCCAGCAGTGCTTGATTGGTTGAACAAATCCTTCTCGTGATGTTCAGAAGAGGGTTTGTGCTTGGGTTAAAAGCATCAGGTAAGAGGTGAGAAGTGGCATTCTGCCTGTGGAGATGAGGGTTTTGCTGTGGTGCTGTTTGCATTAAGGCTTATTTACCTCAAAAAGCCCATTGAAATATTGAAGGGCTTCAGAGAGGAGCGAGTTAATAATTCATTAATGGTGGGGGACTTAAGCGGGTTGAGCGTGTTCCTGAAAACCATGGTAAAGATTTAATCACGGTCTAAATGTACCATACTTCTTCAACCAGCTGCTCTTCTGTATTTCAAAAAAGAAAAAAAAATAAATCACCTAGCTAATAAACCCAAGCAATGTACTTGGTATAATTGTGAAGCAGTGCTCAAAATAGAATGGAGGATATTTAAGGAATAAAAAGGAAGCGAAGGGATATTTACAACCAGAGGATTTTCCTGCACAAGAGAGTACTTTATAAGGCTCACTTTGCGTTCCCACATTTTTGTGAACAGTTTCTATGTAGAAATGAAATGTAAATTAATAACTTGGGTGTTTTTAAAAAGGAAAATGATTTTACCTTCTCTCCCTTCTGCATTCACCACTGATTCTAGCTGATGACTTCAGCTCCCAAGATAACCTTGATGACCCAGAAGCAGGTGGGTGGGATGCGACTCTTGTTGCTGAGGAAGAAGAGGAATTTTTTGAACTGCAGATTGTAAAACATCATGATAGTGAGGTAAGTAGAGATACAGATTAGCACATTTAACTCAGAAGCCTTTTAGATGTTTGCTTTATACGTATAAGGCCACTAAGTTGGTCAGGCAGGACTTGCCCTTGAGAAGTCCATGCTGGTTGTCTCAAATCACCTCCATCTCTTCTACTGCCTTAGCATGGTTTCCAGGATCTCCTCCATGATCTACACCAGCACAGGCATGAAGCTAACAGGTCGGTGGTTAATTGGATAGTCCTCTCTACCCTTCTTAAAAATGGCTGTGACGTTGCCTTTTCACACCCATCTTTTAAGATATCACAGAAGTCATATCGTATCGTATCATATCACAGAATGGCCTGGGTTGCAAAGGCCCACAATGCTCATCCAGTTCCAGCCTGCTGTGTGCAGGTCACCAACCAGCAGCCCAGGCTGCCCAGAGCCACATCCAGCCTGGCCTTGAATGCCTGCAGGGATGGGGCATCCACAGCCTCCTTGGGCAACCTGTGCCAGTGCCTCACCACCCTCTGGGGGAAAAACTTCCTCCTCAGATCCAACCTAAACCTCCCTTGTCTCAGTTTAAAACCATTCCCCCTTGTCCCATCACCATCCACCCTCACAAACAGCCGTTCCCCCTCCTGTTTCTACGTGCCCTTCAAATATTGGAAAGCCACAATGAGATCTCCCTGGAGCCTTCTGTTCTCCAAGCTAAGCAAGCCCAGTTCCCTCGGCCTTCCTTCAGGGAGGTCCTTTTTGTAGAGGCAGTTGTTGTTTGCAAGGGACATTCGCTAGGAGCTGAACCACGGTTTGAAAAATAAAATTCAAGAATCTTCCTTCATCTGAGTCTCAGCCAATTAAATTATGAAAGCCTTCAGCTGAAAAAGCAAGCAATCTTAACTAAGGTTATGGTTAACATGTTTAGCTGTGCGTTGTTACGTGCATTATGTTCTCATTTTACCACATAGCTCATTGTTTTACATCTTCACAACTCTTGGTGGATAATTTCTGCTACAAGGTTTAGAATAATTGGATATGGTTTTTTAACTTAGTCTTCTACGTTCTTTTATGTTTATTATTCCTGTTGATTTTGATTGGCTTTGTTGTCTGCTGTTGTTCTCCTTTGTTTTAAAAGCCTATAAGGATAAATGCCAAAATATTTTTCTTGTGATTTCAACAAAAAAAGCATTTAAAACTGCAGTAACAATAATTATGAAATTATTAAGTAATCGTTTAGGGATGTGGTTTAGTGGGCATAATGGTGATGAGTTGGTGGTTGGACTTGTCCTTTGTGGTCTTTTCCAATCTATGATTCTAATGATCTATATTTTAACAGTCAAGAAAAGAAATTCCAGCATTTGCTGTATTGATAGAAGTGTTTCAACAAAATGTTTCAACTCTGCATTCCGAATATATGAGATCTCAAATACTGAGTGCAGATGTTGTGTAGTGAGATGGAAGATTTTCACTGCAATCTCAGTTGCTGTCTAGTTTATCTTAATAAATTAGGCCAAATGGCCCTGCAGTTTTGCATATTTTAAAATTTATTTGCAGTGATCTTGGGTATTCAGTGGTCTTTTTACTGAGAGGAAATGTTCCAGTTTGAGCAAGTTGGCATTTTCAATCCCAGCATCTTCATTTGGTAAACTAATCTCAATTTCTTAAATGGCCTCTTCTGAAGTGCAGGGATTTTTCTTCATAGGGACTGAAATGGAGAAGCTGACTCTCAAAATTTATGTATTATGTATTTTTCATAATTATGCTTAATTAATTACAGTTAATTATACACCTAATTATGCTTATTAGAGGATACATTTTTTTTTTCCTTCGCAGGTGAAAGTAGAAGCCTCCTGGGACTCCACAGTCCACGACTGCATCCAGCTCAGTAAAGGAACAGCAGCAGATGAAAGAGTTTACCTTATTGTGAGAGCCACTGTGCAGCTCAGCCATCCTGCAGAAATGCAGTTGGTGTTGCGCAAACGCATCTGCGTCAATGTTTATGGCAGACAGGTTTGTCTTCTGCAGTCCTTCATGTGTTCACTCTGCCCTGAGCTTGTCACTGCCTCAGGAAGGGAAGGCTGTGGTTTGTGCAACAGGACTCTGCTGTGACTGTTCTCTTTCATTTATACCAGAATGGAAGCATCATATTAGCAGCTTGCGGGAGGATTTAGGCTGCCATGTGGTTTTCACTGCATTTTTTACATTGTGGATGATGATACAGCTTTTTTTAAAGGCTTAATGGCAGCTTAGTATATGGGAGCCTTTGTTAGCTACTGAGTGACTGCTTTATCCCCATTCATTGAGCAAAGTAGAAAAAGCTCACTTGTCCTGAGCTTGGAGTTCCTATTTTACCAAAAACTGCATCCAAAGAAACTTGGGTGTTTCCCTACTCCTGTAGTATATTCACACATTAGTGCTATTTCTGTGTAGTCATTCAGATATTTACAGGAAAGCAAGCGGTAGCTGGAACAGAGATCCCTTTGTGTAATGTCTCAGCTAATCACTCTCAGTCTAACATGTTTTCCAGTTGTGTTGTGTTTCTGATGCTGCGTAGTTGAGAGTAGGATGCTTCCTAAGTGGAAAGCAGAATTTTGTTATTCCATTTGTGGCAACACATTCTGACAAATATCTTATTCCTATCATGGTGAGGAAGATTTTGTTCAGCATTGCCTCAGAATCCAGCTTCCCTTAGCAATGCTGATGACAAAGCAAGGAGCCTGAATTGTTATTCTATTTGCACTTCTGTATTAAAATTTGGAGAAGTGTGGTCACTCCCAGGAACCCTGTAGGCCACTGTGAGCTGCTTTTACTGTTAAAAATGTAAAAACTACAGCTCTCAGGCAACAGCTATTTCTCAGAAAGAGATCAGGGATTTTTAAATAATACACAACGGGAGGAATTTGCTCAGTAGGTTGAGCCTGCCAATAGTTATAACTGTGCTAAGTCTTCATCAATTCTGTTTTCTGCAGATTCTGTCGATTATTTTTCCTTGCTGTTCTCCAATACCGAATCTTTCTTGCTAGCTTTCTGCCTAACTTTCTTGCTAGCTTTCTAAAAAATCCTCATCGATAACCTTTCCCGGGCGTTTGTCTCAGCAGCATCTTTGAATGACTCATCTCTGCATTAATTCAACAGTCCAGTTCTTAACCCTGCGAGGCGCCAAGTCAGCATAAACAATGACCATGCCCCCTTAAATCATCCTTCATAACGATCTCTTTGGTCAAGAATTTAATGCCTGTACTTGTCAATATTCAAGACAAGTCACCTAGGGCTCCACAAAAAAATATCCAGAACTAGCAAATGTATTGCGTGCTGGTTTAACAGTCACCTTGCAGTGAAGGAAGGTAATTCTTTTTCTGTGTCTTAAATGCAGAAGAGCAAACGATTTGTCTCCAAGTCAAAATCTTTGAATCTTAAGTATTTGCTGGCTAATCTTTTGGGTTTGGGCTTCTTTCTTTGTCAACTCTACTTACTTCACTTGAGTACGTTAAAATATTTTTTTCTGTAGCAAGAAATATCTCCTTTCTGTCTCCCCACAGGGCTTTGCACAGAGCTTACTCCGAAGAATGTCTCACCGAAGTTCCATTCCTGGCTGTGGTGTCACTTTTGAGATAGTCTCAAATATTCCAGAGGTGAATAAGAATGCAAATTATCTGAAATTGGCTGGGATTCTCTAATTTCCTGCAATGTCCCTTTATTTTAAGCATGCTTTTTCTTGCTGCTGGAAGCATAAAGTATGATTCTTATAAAAGATTAAGCAAACTTATTTACATGTTTAGACTTATCAACAACGTGTGTCTTGTCAGTGTCACTGTGTATTTTGTTGAGTGAGCATCCATTTGCTTAAGTCCTTGAAGAAGCATTTTAAAGGAAAGGGGAATAAATATAGGTAGCTGAAATACCTCATGTAGGGAATGTGATAATATGTTAAAAAAGCAAACAAGCAAACGAAACCAACAATACAAACCAACAAAATATTAACCACCCTCCACACACCCTAAGTTCTTAAGTAACATCTTAATGTAACCCTTGATTCCTGAGTATGTTCATAGTTGAATCCTAATCCCTTCCTTCCAGACAGATGCTCTATCAGAGCACTTGTAAAGCATTAACACATGAAGAGCCAAAGGGCTGATTGCTGCCTGACTCTCTTTTATGTTCTGATGTATTTAACACTGTGTTTCAACGTCTCTAAAGCTATGCCCATTTTTTTTTCCTTCTGCAAGTCACTTGAAATTTTATTTCCTTCACGGAGTAGATAATGCCTTAAATGTGTTTGAGTGCTTTATAATTACAAGATATCTGAATACAGCCCTTTAGCTAATCAATGGCAATGTCTTACTGTGAGACTCTCTCAAGAAAAGAAAAAAAAAACAGGAAAAAGGGAATGAAAACCAACAACAACCGTGTATAACTTGAGGTGGTGGTGATGATTTCTGAATATGATATGGCATATTTAGAAAAGTCCAACAAGGCATTTGAATCTCCCCCTGTACTTAAGGGAAAACAGTGTTGAATCTGTCCTGCAGATTTTAAAAATGCATTTTCTTCAGGACTGATGGAGGAGGGTTTTGTTTTTAGAGCATGTCATTTCTTTTCTCCTTTCCAGGATGCTCAAGGAGCTGAAGAGCGGGAAGCACTGGCCAGAATGGCAGCAAATGTTGAAGACGCAGCTTCAGCTGACTCTGAAGCCTACATAGAGAAGTACTTGCGAAGTGTGCTGGCTGTGGAGAACATTCTCACCTTGGATCGTCTGCGGCAGGTCTGATTTTAGGGCTGTAGCACACAGCAGTTGTGCACTTACTCAGTACAGTATATGACAGTGCAGATGTTTTCATAAGGACATAGAGTGGCTGGCAACCCAAGACCCCCCCCTTAAGCTTTACAAAGTGTGCCTGTGGCAGAAGTCCAAAGAAGCAAATGTAGCTCACTTTACATAGATGTTCTCACTGAATTATCTACAAGATGGGTGAATGGGACTGGGAGCTTTGTATTACATGCACCATCTCTTATCCTTGGTTGGTTTTTAAGACTGTCCATTGCTGATTATGTAGCAGAAAAAGCAGATAGGGTTGATGTGAGCTTTTGCTTTCTGAAGGTTAGGATTTACTACAGATTTTCCAAGTTGCTCGTAGAGCTTGTGTCATTTTGAATCACAAAATCATAGAATCATTACAGCTGGAACAGACCTTTAAGATCATCTAGTCCATATGTTCATATTCTGCCTTGGAGCAACCAAACCTGTTCTCTTTAATATGTATGACACTGATTGGGTTAATCTTGAGCACTGCAACTTGATCTGTGTACCAGGGAAAATATGGAAGAGAAAAACATTTATTGAAAATTGTTCTTCTGGATATAAATTATGCAAGAGTAAAAGAAAGTTATGCAAAGCAAGCCAGAGTGTGTGCTTGCCCGCTATAAATTAATGGTGAAGTGCGACGCACTCGGAAGTATTGAAAGCAAGGTCCCTGTCATGTGTAATTAGTTTAAGGGATTAAAATAGGAGCTCAGCTACAAAAAGAAGCCTGTCTTCACATCTGTAGCAGTCATCTCCCAGAATCAGAATTAGCTGTAAAGTCCTATATGTGCCAATCAGCAAAAAACTTAATGTTTTTCCACTCTTGCACTTCTAGCTGTGTTACATACAATTTTTAGATTACAGTAAACTTCACAGATGGGAGCCAGTGCTATACAGCTGTTTAATAACATTTTTCTTGTATAGACAAAGATGGGATGATTGGAGCTTGGATTCTGGCAAAACACGCCTAGTATTTTCTATCTTTTGCTTCTGTGTGATTTGCAGGAAGTTGCAGTAAAAGAGCAGCTAATGGGAAAAGGAAAACTCTACCGGAGGAGCCTGAGCTCTCCCAATGTGAACCGGGTGAGTATTCCGTGCTGGAGTCCGCAGCAGATTGAGGGCAGCAAGTGCATCTTTCAATTACCAATCGAACATAGCAATAAATTTCCTTTTGCTTGACTGTTCTGCTTGTCTGTGCTGTTTGTCATCCTGCAAATCACTGTGGGTAGACAAAATCTGCATGTTTTCATATTTTCACCGTACGGATTAGTGTGCTTTAGAGTACCTGCATAAATCCACATCGTTGGAAAAAGCAGGACACTAGTTTTTCATCTAACTATCAACTTTTTCCCTAGAAGTTTTGAAAGCAAGTTCCAAGTATTTACTGATTTTAATTTTGTGTTGTAGAAGCATTATCTTTTTCTTGATTAGTGCATAAGAAGAAAGAGACGTTTCTGCTTTCCAACGTTTTAAATGAAATGCTTTGGTTGAGCTGATAATGAAAACTGGTCAAATTTTGGCCTCTCTTAGGTCACTAATTGGGATTTCACCTTTCATCTTCTCTCGACTTTCAGTTCCGCTTTAACTGAAGGCTTTACTTTCACCCTTCCTTGTGTTTGTCAAGTTGCATATTTATCAGTTGTTCAAGTTTTTGTTAAGAAATAATTCTGCTTGCCTTGACCATTTCAGCTTTCTGCAAGCCGCCAAGATTTAGCTCCTCCTTATAACCTGAGCAGCAATCGGGTGAGTATCTGAAGCTCTCCTGGGAAATCTTCTACTGAAAAGGAGTAGCTACCATGACTGCATTACACCAGGTGCAGGGGTGTAGTTGAGAAATATCCTTAAAAATGAGGCACACCCACCTGTTCCTTGTATCATTGAGACTGCTCATTGGAATTACTTGCTTTGTGCAGCACCAGACATCCCTGGGAAGGCTCCCATGTGTTCATCAGCCACGTAGCACTGCTGCCAACAACTGTGGGATGTGCAGGGGCAGGCCTGTGCCAAACAGACCAGGTTAAACGTAGCCATCCGTCACTTGGGGGTGTGCTTTTCAAGGGAAGTTTTCTCACTGTCTATCTTCAGAGCTCTTCCAAAGCTTTCAGTTGAATGGATGCAAACCTGTTGGATAAGGGACAAATCTGAGCTCACGTCTAAGCTCAGGTTCATCTTCAGTATAGAATGGAATGCATTGAGTCTATGCCTTTCAGGGCAGAACCCTGCAGTAGGTGATTTGATAATTCAGCCCATTACGCTCCTTAAAAATAATGGCACAGATCAAAAGTGTTTCTTTAAAAAGAGAAAAATTAAAATTAAATTTATTTTCCAAAGCCAAGATAAACTAAGGGGCTCTCTCCTGATAGATATTTTGCCCAGTGAGCATGTAGTCATTTTGAAAAGGTGAATCTAGTGGTGACAAGACGTTTTAATGCATAATGCAGTTGCACGGAATAATAGAATTTTGATGTAGTGCTCTAGCATTGGTTGCTAAATCTGCTACATCTGATCCATGTAGAGAATGCTAAAAGGTGTGCAGGTAATCAAGTGCTTACAGCAGCTTCCGTTTGGAGAGAACTGTGGAATGTCTCAATATTGTAGGTTTTTAAAGCAGAAATTAAAGTCTGGAGTACTTACATTTTTTGTTTCTCTCCTCTCCTCAACAATTTCCCTCACTTCACGTTTCAGAGTCCAAAGATCCCAGCAGAGGTAATGCATTAGGTCCACCTAATGAGTGGGATAATAATTTTATCTCACTATAAAGTTTATTTTGCTCCCTTAAACGCTTTTCCTTCCTGCTTTGAAGATGCTGCTGTTGGTGTCTCATTTGCATAGTAGACAGCAAATGAGATTTTTCTATTGAAAAGCCTGTCATTAACGCTGTGTGAAACTGCTACAAGGAAGATTCTGCTTCTTGGGGCCTTCTTATGGTTTGTTACATCCTGCAGCTATTTAGATGGCGTTTCTCAGAGTTCTTTGGACAGGGTGCAGGTATTTTAGAAATGACCCATCTTTGCTTTAACAACTAAAAAAAATACATATATAAAAGCAAGCAAATATTTGCTGGTTGTGTACAGCCTGGAAATGAGACAAACATTGAGTGAGAGTTTCTACCACGTCTTGCTGAGGCTGTCTGGCTTCAGATAGCTCAGTGCTAACAACACTTGATTGCTATGAAAGAATGAATTGAAATAAACCCTAGGACAATGGAAACCCGTATTTAATCTTCTTATCCCATTAACATTGTCAGAGGGATAACTGTATGTCCCCTTGACTGTACCAAGCTTTGGTTAAGCAGAGTTGATTACTAGTGGTTTGCATGGGGTTATGCAGCTCTTTGCCTCATTTAGGGTGGCTGCTGACAAATGCACTGTATCACTGTGATGTGGGGCTGCAGCTTCTCTCCTTGCTTGCAGAGTACCTGTTTTCAAAGCATCCTTTGCTCAGGACAATGATGGGGGCTGATGCAGGGGCTCATTCCAAAGCTGGTTCAGTTTCCATAGAGAGACGAATGGAAGCTTTTTGTAATCAGAGTGAAATGTTAATCATATTCTTAAATGTTCCTGTAGCACACGTAAAGCACACCGGTGACAGCATTTTATGTATTTTAGAACTAAGGATCCACAAATGACTTCATTTTTAGCTAAGTTAGGTGGCTTTTGCCACTTGGAAAGCAGTTCAGTGGAAAAAAAAGTTTTCTCCAGCACTGATGAATCATTACTCTCCCAGGAATTTTTGTTTACAAGTGACTATAAGAAGCTGATCTCTAACAAGTGGTTTATTGTATCACAAGAAATGTCAGTCCCAGTATAGTAATTGCATAATAAATTGGATACAGGGCTTACCTGCCCAGCCTGTGTATGTTAATATTAGTGGACACCTTTACTTATTTCACAGTCTTCCTCTCTTTAACTTTAATTCCATTACTTCACTTCCCTCTCCAATTTTATGTTATTATTCCTGGCGTTGTTGCTGCCTTTACTGTGGATCTTAACTGCATAGGAAGGCCTCTCTCATTTCTGTATGTAAAGCACTGTTCATACTGGGAAAGTTGTGAAAGTGGATTCTGCTTCAGTTTTCAGCAATATGAATGGCCAGAACACATTTTCCTGTAAAACACAATATATTTAAAAAGAGTTATCATAAGATGTAACAATGGTGTAGGTGCAACTAAGGTAGGTAGACCAGAATTATGACCTGGGCTCATAGTGCAGTCATAGATGAATCTTTCTTGCTACATGTGGTCACGCTCCCATGAAAAGCCAGAAAAGCCTCATTGCAGAACTGGAGGAGAGGTGTGATGTGGCACATTTTGAAAAAAAAACCTAAGGAATATCTCAGTGCATTGACACCAGAGAGCTCCCAGAGATCAGGTCAGAGATTCCCAGCATTTAAATGATACAAGTTGCTTAGACCTAAAGTGTATGTGCTCCAGTTAGTGAACACACAAAGCAGTGAGAGTGCTGTATGGCGTGCATGTCTGAAACTTGGCAACTTGGTATCAATGCAGTTAATAATCCTTACTTTTCTTTTCTTTTGAGAGATTGAGGCGGGTTATCTTTCAAACCAACTTAGTAAAATCTTTCATTCATCAACTGCCTTTTACCCCTCTAGATTTTTAGCACAACACTTGACCCTTCCAGTTGTTCCCAGTGTTTTCTTTCGCAGATATGTTTCTCTGTGTGCTGCCATGATTTACCTACTTTATAATGGTAAATCAATAACGGTCAACTCAAGAGTTGAGCGTCATATTGTCTCTAAATATATGTGACCTTCAACGTAAGATGATAATCCTTCTTCTCTAAAACAGATTATTTTTGATTTGAAAACCCAACATATTTTAAGTACCTGGCCAGACAAATGCTATTTTCAAGTGCACATTCCTGCTTGCAGGGCCAGTGTTTTATTTAGTCTGGTAAAATACTTAACATTATGCAGGAAATGTAGTCATCTGTAATGTCAAGACTGAAGTAAAATTTCTTAAAGATCCTAAGGAAAATAAGTGTTTGTTTGTTTTCCTAAGGAAAAAGTCACTACGTCTTGCCATTGTTTTTGTACAGGATGAATCCTCTGGAAGTGTTTTGCTCTGTTTCATATTTACTCTCATTTTTTTGAATCACTCTTCAAACAGGTCTAGAAAGCCGATGTACTTGTCTGAATGATTTCTGTTGGAACAGTCAAGGAAGGGCACTTCTGACTCAATAAATCATGATTCACAGAATGATTCAGTTGCTTCTTACCTACATTGAGTCAGTGTTCTAGTAAGTTTGCAAGCTTTCCCCACATAGTCTATTTTTGATATCTCTGTGGTATCAAGAAGCCCTTTAGACATGGCCTGTGGATAGAAAATTGTTAGGACCTGCCATCTTTGTCCATTTGTCTTTAGTAAGAGGGTCATCATCATTAAAAAGGAAAAAAAGCTTTGCTATGTTGTCCAAAAAGAAGCCTTCAGATGCTTTCCCCTCTCCCTTAGACCACCATCTACCAGGCTGATGCCATTACCAGTCCTAAAAGTAACAAAACCAAATGGTTCTTTTCACAGTTTAGTCTTGTGACCATATCCCACCAAACATTCTACTTTCTGTAAACTTCCTTAGTGTCACTGAGCTGGTGCATCACAGGAGATTGAATTACGCTGAGATTTTCCTCATCTGGGAATTTTGGCTCTCCTGCCAACTAATCCATCAGTGGAAGCCAGCAAAGTGGACTTAAAGAAAAACTCAACATCCCAAAAAGGAAGACTTTGAGCATAGTGTAGAATCACTGGAAGTTTCCACTCTGGCTTTAAACACCTACTGCAGGACTTCCAAACTACTGAGGGTGCCCACTGTTCAGGATGCTGGCCGTGCCATTCCACGCTTTCTGCCACTATCCAGTCTTGGGGCTGGATGTACCTGGAGGATGTTCATAAAGTTATTTCAATTTAAAAAAAGAAAAGCCTGAAACACATTAAATCAGCATGGCAATAGGAACATGCTGGTTTGAGCATTCCCACTTGTCTCTCCCACAGCCTGGTTCCCCAAGGACACAAAGTAAAGAGAGAAATTATTAATAGTGTTCAAGATATGGTTCCTGAAGTACAAAGATGACTGCAATATCAAATACAAATACCGGGTTAATCTGACCAGTGTTACAGCATATAAAAAAATGATAACCTTAATCCACACCCCAAAAGTGGTAAACAGCGTACCAGAGAACATATATAACAAGTAAGGTATTAAGTAATATGGGTTCATGAAAAAATTCTGAACAATCTCTGGAAAAACGGTGGATGTGGACAGTGGCAGGAGAAGGGGGAATGGTTCAAACTGAGACAGGGGAGGTTTAGGTTGGATGTTAGGAGGAAGTTTTTCCCCCAGAGGGTGGTGAGGCACTGGCACAGGTTGCCCAAGGAGGCTGTGGATGCCCCATCCCTGCAGGCATTCAAGGCCAGGCTGGATGTGGCTCTGGGCAGCCTGGGCTGCTGGTTGGTGACCTGCACACAGCAGGGGTTGGAACTGGATGAGCACTGTGGGCCTTTGCAACCCAGGCCATTCTGTGATTCTATGAAAAGGAAAAACTAACATTATGACATTAAGTTATTCTACCACTTAGAACAATTTTGTTTTAATACACTCTGGTCAAATCTGTTGTTGCCTCAACCCTTTGAGTCCCACATTGGGCACCGAATGGATGCGCTCCAGGTGTGCACCCATCACTCAGCAGCAACCAGCATGTATATCAGTGTGCTGTTAACACTGTTTCAGCTGTAAACAGGACAACACAGTAAGGTCACCTAAAAGAAATCAGCACCAATTGAAATGCAAGATGGCAAAACCCACAGTAAGGGGGTTTCTGTGCAGTGCAGTAGGAGAGATTGTTTCATAGGAGCTTTTTGTGGAAAGAATTTTCCAGACATAGCCATGAGTTTTTGATGTGTGTAAGATGTGAGAGTTGCAGGTCAAGGATAACACTTAAGATGGGGGGTTTCAGGTACGGGTAGAAGAGCTCTGTCACCTACAGTGATAGAGCAGGAAGCTTTCAAGGAGGGCTTAAACTCCAACGTCCTCAAAAATACAAGACTAAACAAACCCTGGTATTGCTGCTACTCGCAGCCTGAGTTACATCAGTTCTGACACCCAGGGTGACTGCCTCCAGTCAACTCAGACATCCATTACCCTTTAGGTATCCCAAATGTTACTTCACAGAGGCAGAGCCTGTTGTCTCTACATGTAAGAAAACAGCTACTCAAGGTGTGAAGTGCTGCTCTGCAAAAGTGTACATTACTTGCTATTCAAAGCAGGACAGCTTCTTTGGGACTGGCTTATAGATCCAAATGGAAACGATTTTTGCTCTGAGCTGCTCAGTGTGACCTTCAACCCATTGGAGAAATCTATTCCTTCTATCCTGGCTTACTTATTATTTGTGAAACATTCATGACTTCAAGTTACAGTTGAGATTAGTTTAGCTGCCTGTCATTTTTCTGTTTCAAGGTCAGATTATTTCCTTTTGTTCAGCACTGTGAAGCTTCTTGAAATGGTGTATTTCCCTTCTCTTCCATCCAGAAAAATACATAAAATCTCTGGTCATGAGTGCAGCAAGTTTCTCCACCCGTAGTGCATCCTTTCTATTATGTTCACTGTGCCATCTCATTGTGCAAGTGTTTACAACCACGATTCAGATGCAGACACCCTATAATATAGAGAACTAGAAACCATGGCATAGCTTTTCACCAGCAGAGTGATCAGAATCCAGTTTGTGTCAGTTTGGTTGCCTTAATGCCATCCTGTCTTCACAACTTTTCATTTTGAAAAAGTGAAACTTTTTCTTATATTAGAATATGATAGAGATGGGAAAATATGATTCTGCCATTTAGATTCTTGAAAATCACGCACTGTTACGAAGCAATAGCTTGGAGATTCTCTCTATTCACCAAGAAATTTTGTCACTGAACTGGTCACTGGTTGTCACTGGTAAGCTTGGGGTAGAAGAAATAGAGTCACAGAATCATTAAGGTCATAAAGTACTTCTGAGATCACCAAATCCAACCCCAGCCCACCCCACCATGCCCTCTGCCCACATCCCTCAGTGCCACATCCCCATGGTTCTGGAACACCTCCAGGGATGGTGACCCCAGCACCTCCCTGGGCAGCCTGTTCCAATACCTCACCACTCTTTCTGAGAATAATTTGTTCTTAATGTCCAACCTGAAGCTCCCCTGGGCCATATCTGACCCTAAGCACTAAAATCCAGCCTTCAGGTCTAAGGTCGTATTTACTTTCTTATTCCAAGCTCTGTCTGTCCTCACCCCTTCTCACTGGCACTTCAGCCAGACTTCACTCATGAATGCTTCCTGAGCAAATACACAGAATATTTAGGAATTTGGAGCCAACAGAACTGTTGTATTTTCACCTGGTTGTACCATACACAACTCCCAGTACAGCTGCACAGTTCGGTGCACTGTCATAAGTTTAAGGTCTCTAGGTAGATTCTTCCTGTGCCTTGCTGCAGATGGGAGCTGAGGGTGCTTATCTTAGCAGCACTGGGTGTTTCAACTAAAAGTGCCTTGGGGAAGGGTCTTTCCTCAGCTCTGCACGTTTGTAACATTTCGAAGGCGCTGTGCAAGCTGGCATGGTGTGTAAGTCTTGCTGGTGGTGTGCTAACTTCGAAAAATACAACTTTTGTTTTTCTCCCTAGGGCCGATGGGAAAGTCAGCAAGATGTATCCCAAGGTGTCACAAACTCCAGCAGGGGCATTAGTCCAACTCGTACCTCTCTGCCAGGCTCCGGGCAGCAGAACCACTCCCCTGATGCAGGTACGGGCTTTCCTGAAGCTAAGGCAGCTGTCGTAAAGATGGAGTGAAGTCACCCCATCATTGTCAAATCTAAGCACCTTTCAGAGATACGGGTTTCTCCTCCAAAGCAACGCAGCTTCCTCTCTGTGATAGGCATGTTTAAAGTTGTCTTTGATTTCTGCAGGTGCAGTCTTGATCTCAGAAGCTCAGTTTCTAAAGCCTGAAGTTATCTGGGCTCAAAACATGTATCTCTTAGGTCATTAAAACATCCAAGACTAGAAGCCTACTAATGTCTTAGAAAATAATTAGCACTAGAGCTGGGGGGTTGTTTTGCAGCGAGTGTGCCTGATGTATTACTGAGAGTGGAGTGATACAGAGTGAGGGTTTCTTTCTAACTAGGTTTTCTCAAGGGAAAGTATTAAAAGCAGCAGTATTATCAAGAAGAATTGAATGTCCATAACTTTTTTTTTTTATGTTTGTATTTCCTCGTCTTTCTTCCTCAGTATATTTTGTAATTGTTAGCAGAATTTTGTGTTGTTAGCATCTTTTTTCAGTTCTGCTTCCAGGTGATTTGTTTTTTTGCTTCTTCAAGTTGTAAGCAGTTCTGTGTTTCTAACAGCAAACAGCAAGCTTTTTCACACCGTGTGATGAAAATGACTTCCAAAATTACCCAAATTCATATATCCTGTTCTAGGAAGGAGCAAACACTCACTGCTTTTCTTTGGTTAGTGCACTGACTACAGGAAGATGTAGTTCTAGAATTAAAATGATAGCTTTGTTTTTTCACCATAGCATATCTGTTCACACTGTTCCATTTTTCTAACAGGTCTGGGTAGCCTTGCTGCTTCCTACCTGAATCCTGTCAAGTCATTCGTGCCTCAGATGCCAAAGCTGCTGAAGTCTCTCTTTCCTGTTAGAGACGAGAAGAAGGGCAGGCAGACCTCACCTCTTGCACAGCAGGTAAGATTTTAAATGAGACTGGCTATGCAGTAATATTGATGAGTGCTGTTAGACTTGCAACAGAGCACCATTTTATTTGCTGTTGCAGTGCAAACCCAACTCCTCGTCATAGTAAAGCCTTGTGATGCATTTCCCCTCCATTCTGTGCAGAGACAGTGGAGCTGTTAAACTTATTGACACAGTCAGCCCACATGGCTTTTTAGAAGTGCCAAGTACACTACCAGCATGATTGATGGTAATCCCATTTGCAGCAACAATAGTAAAATTTATGAAGTGCACTTAGTGTTGTTTGTGTACTGCCAAGTGGAAAATGTAATTCTATTTTTAATCCTTTATTTCATTTACCATCTTCCTTCTCCCCTATCCCAGCTTGGGTCACCCTTTTCTACCTTCTGCTGCGTACAGTTGCTTTTGTTTCTCATTTATTCCACATTCCAGAGAAGCTTTGATTTTTTTGATTCTGTGCTACAAAACTTCATGTGCTCCATTTGTGACTTCTGTGCAGTGAAAGGTAGCTCATGCATGGTCAAGCTGACTGCAAAACTCTACTATCTCCTAAAGAAAGCAGATGAAATAACAGAATCCCACTATAAATGATACTTTCTTCCTAATTTGAGAGACTGACATTTATTTATAAAGAAAAAGCCTTCTTCTGGGTAAACCTGGAATACTTAAAAACTGTTATGAAAATAAATCTGGAGCCAGATGTCACTTTCTAAAGTGTATGGCAGCCCATGTGGTCCATGCCTTGTTAAGCATTCAGCTAACTCTTCATAGACAGAAACTTGTCTTCATCTGTAATTTTGGAAGCATGTTTTCTGTTACCATAGACCTTTCCCATCTCTTCATGTGCAGACAAGTGTTTTAAAGGATGTCTTTCTAAAACAAAACTACAAAAAAATAATCCCTCATTTTTGTGGTATGATCCAGGCATTCTGTCCTATTGGTTGCTACAGCTGAAGAGCAGCTAAGGGGTATGCATAGATGGTAGGAATAGATTATCTCAGTGGTCTTTTCCATCCTTCATGATTCTATGATTGCAAGTAATTGCTTTGTCATGGCAGGAAGTACAGTGAAATAGTAAGAAGATAAATAGGCCAAAACCAAAGGCTTAAAAACACAGTTAAGTTTTAGTGGAACTTGTGATAGACATAGTACAAATAAAAATAAAGCAAATTTAGAACATTCTTAGTTTGACCACGACCATTTCTCTGTGAAGTAAAATGAGCAAGTTTTACTCCCAAATGTCAACTAACTTTGCATTTCACATTTTCACGTGGCCTTTTGCTTACAACAAGGTCAGTGAAGAATCTGAGATCATGAAACCTAGCACATCTGAGAAATGTAGCTGATTAAAATGAAGACAGTGACTTTCTTAAAGGTATTTGGGTATTGGATGATGCAAATAGGTGCTCTTTACAATTGCACTCAGATCCTTTTACCACTGCTGGAATTCTCACTGAATCAATGAGAGCTGAGCTGAGAAGTGAGGCCCAATTTCCTTCCTCTAGTCTAACCACCTGTTCCCACTCCTTCCTACTGTTCAAGATCACTCTTGCAGTTCTTTGCCTTCAAGTCAGTTTTTATACTACAAAGCTACCTACCTTAGGAATTTTAATTTATATTATGGATTACTATGGAAACTCAATCAGATCACGATCACAGCAAGTTTTAAGTAGGCAGGAATGCTATCTCTAATCTGTTTTAAGGAAGAAAAGCTAATGTATAAACAGGAGTGTATGATGTTTCAACGCATGTTGCAGGTCAGCCTGAAGTTTTCTGTGACCAGTGAATCAGTATAACAAAATGAAATCTCTAAGTTAGTTGTTGCTTGTACTTTTGTAATAGAAGTCAAGTCAAACAAACCTCACTGATTTCAGAGCTGCATAGATATTCTTCAGAGCTCTCTCAGTAAGCACACAGCTTCTTCACTCCTGTTAGAAATCACAGTGCACGAAAGAGCAGAAACTGAAGGAGCTGTTCCAGAATGACCTTCCTCCAAGCAGCACAAGAAATGAATGTGTGATGGTGCATGCATGCATGTAGTGACTGGCTTGAGCATCCTAGAATCATGCAATCATTAAGGTTGGAGAAGACCTCTAAGGTCATCCAGTCGAACCCCAACCCATCCCTACCATGCCCACTGTCCCTCAGCACCACAGAGTAAAGGGGTTGATGCACATTAATATGACACTGAAAAGCGAATCATCGTTTCTCGTAATCCTTCTTGCTGCTTCCTTACAACTGCTTGAGGATGCAGAAGTGGTTGCAAGCGTTAAAAACTGGCCAGAATTCCAGTGGTGGCAGTGACAAATGGCTGTGTGCTCAGGGCCTGCAATGGGGTCAGTGCTTGGCAGTCGGCTGTAACGCCTTATCACTAACCTGTCCGTGTAAGACAGCACGCTGGTAATTCCTGCATGCCTGTGCCATAGTGCAGAGTGAGGAGGGCACAAAAATGACATTGCTGCATCTCAGAAAATACAGAACAGTACGGCTTAGTTCAATGAAAGAATTGCACTTTGATATGGAGCTACAGGGGACATAACTGAGTGTGCAGGAGGAGAGTAGGCAGTGAACTACAAAAAGCTTAACAGGGAGATGAAGCCAAAAGGATATTTCAGCTGCAGTTTCAAAGGAATCTGACCTCTTAACAGGGAATTGCTGGATTTCTGTGACAGTAAACAGCAAATTCAGAGAGCTGAAGGTGACTAAAGCAACACTTCTCAAGGAAAATGGAAAGATCTAAATCACTGTTACCTGGCTAAATGCAAATGAGCAGATAGGTGGTGACAGATTTTTGAACATAAATACCAAAAAGTGAAGTGGGTCACTTGGTTCCTTTCTCCAAGTTCATCAAACAACTCAAAGAATTTCCAGAGTTCTTGTCAAGCTCTCTTTTCAGTGCATGTCTGTTGCAGCATTTGAGAGCATGTAACCATCTATTGTCATTAAAGCCCACTCCATAAAAGTGCTGCTGACCCATACTGAACTAGATGGCTGCCCTGCTGTGCTATTAAATCCCTGATATGTTACAGTTCAGCTGTCAGGGTTAGGTTCCTGTGCATGTCTGCTCAGAGCTGCATCTTCTAGGCTGAGTCTCACAGCTGATTGAAGTACTTTAGAGAATCATTTTGAAGTGAGCAGCTCTTAATTATTTCTGCAAGTTTTGAAGTGTAGCTCAGTTCATCATGACCAAGCAGCTGTCCAGGTGGATGTGTTACCAAATCACATCCCAGGCAAGTAAACAGAAGATGGAGTTGTCATCACTTGTTCTGAAAATACGCTTCTAATCTTATTATTTTAGCAACTTATTTCAATCGCGTGCTGTTGCTTGGGATCAATCTTAAGGTAGAATCAGAGAATCACAATATTATTAAGGTTGGAAAAGATCTCTAAGGTCATCTAGTCCAACCATCAAGCCATCTTCACCAAGCCTACTCATCATGTCCCTCAGTGCCACATCCCCACGGTTCTCCAACTCCTCCACCAAGTAAACGAGCGCATGTAGGTTATCGTAACATCTTGTTGAGATGGTCTTTCCCAGTGCTGTTTTTGTTTGTAGTTTCAGAAAGGCAGAGCCATGCCAGGCAAGGTGGTGGCAGCTAACAAAATTGCTGTCTTTGACCTTCTGATGCAAGTTTAGTAACTAATCTGGAGAATAATGAACCGCAATTAATGAAATCTGCTCTCGTATTCAAGTGTGTTTCTCAGACAGCACATAAAATAATTGAAAGAACTTCCTGCTCTCTAATTAGTTAGATTGAATTAATTTGGCATAATAGGATTCTTTATGTAACTAGCAGAACAGCTTCCGATGAAGCTGTTTATGTACCTAAAAGATTGGTTTCTGATGAAGCTGTTTATATACTTTTAAGTTAGAAAATGCCTATTTTATCAGTTATCTGCTGCTTTTCAATTAATTGCCAGTATGCTGTAAGTAAAAAATAATTAAATAAAACACAACAGCTTAAACCCTTTTCGGATTACTGCAATTGCTTTTTATTTTCCCAGTCTATTCTTTAAAAAGCTTAGTAGCACAGTGTGCAAGATTTAAAGCCTTGTCACTCCTTATTGCTGATCAGGAAAAGTTTAAAATGCTTGAAATATGCAGGTGGATGGAGAATCAGTTTCATCTATCTGTGCATAATTACATTACATGCACGCTCTCGACGCTTGTCTCTTTTATTAAGGTGCTGAGGCTTTCACAGTGTGCACCCAGCAGAATTGCTGTTCTTTACCTTGTGACCCTGTTGATCTCCAGGAACTGCCTGTATAATCACATTTTAAGGCATCGTTGGGTTCTGACATTAAAAATGTACATATTATATTTCACTTTCTGCTTTTTGACATTGCTGTGGCTAAAGCAAACTCCTCTAACCGGCATGGTTTGAGAAGTGGTCACCTTCATTCAATCCTTGTTGGATGGTCAAACGTCTTTCTTAGCACATGACTTCCAAGAGAGATCTGGAGTCACAGCTGTCTTAAAAGGAATAAATAAACTCTTTGAATTTCCATGCACTAATCTAATTTGCTTTTGTTTTGTGGTATAGAAATCCAGACATGTGACACGAGGAAAGGACAGCTCTCAATTTGTTCTTTCACCTTCTGGTACAGACATAGTAATTAATCTAAAACAAATGAAATGCAGTTAATGAAAAGCTTTCTGAATTGAGAAAAGACTTATTCTGGCAGTGGATTAAAAAATAGCAGTAGTTTCATGGGTGTATATGGTGCATTGCATAATTGCTAGAACTTACGTTCCTTAATCAAATGTAAATAACATGGCCTTGGAGAACCTTCTTTCAAATCTAGAAGGCATTTTTCATATAAAGAGCCATTGGGATGCTATAATCAGTATAGTTCAACAGACCTTCAGTGCCTGGCTGGGCTCATATGTGTCTGGATCTTGTGACTAAGCTATTTGTGTTTTGGTTTCTTTATAAGTTCAATTTTCCCTATCATCCTCTTTCATATAGCTTTTAATGAGAATGAGTATGGAA